GAAAGGGCATACATGACATTATTACAAACCCCACAATGAATCCAAGCAACAGCAAGAGCAGAAATATTAATAATTCATAATGCCATGATTTTTAAAGATAATATTCTCATATTTAACTCCACATTGATACTCATTTTAAAAGTTTAATCTAGAATGAAACAGACAAAAAGAAAGGAAAGAAAAGCCCCCTGAAAATACAAAGTAATGCAGTGACAGAGAGCATTGTACATATGTCCAAGAAACACAAATTATGAGGATGTAGTAAAGATGGTAGCCACTTTGTGCAATTGACTTCCTCAAGGAATTCAATATTACTTAAACATTTCAGGTCTGCACAAACCTGCAGCAGAACTGGCACACATTGGCTTTGGAAGGAGCTAAAGTTACTCTAGTTACACTTTATTCTTGAACTCTAAATCAGGATTAGAAAATTCATTATTTTAACTTTGGAGCTACAATAAGAAACAAGAAGTTGGCAAGGAAGCCTCCCAGGCTGGTTCCATCATGTTAAGTAGCAAATGTTACCTTCTCAATACTGCATTACACTCATACCTCATGAAGGGCGTACATCAAATTTCACACAACAAAGAGAATTTTATATTTGCCATACATTACTACATTCTTGTTAATATTAAAGGCTATCTCATGACCTCCTTGCATTGACACATTCTATCAGCACAAACTAGTCACCTGAATGTCCTTAGAATTAGCTAAGCAAAGAGAGAAAGACTAATCATGTTCCGAAAGAGTGCATGCTAATCCTCCTTCGTGGACATGAGGCAGAATTCTCATATGTAATTGGCCAGTAGAAAGAGGATATTCAGAAGACCAGTATCTTTCCCTCAAACCAGATGGAGGCTTAACTACCACTGCAGTAGTTCTAAGGCACCAGTAAAAGTAAAACACAAAAAAGAACACTACCTAAGTCTTAGAACTTCAGTGTTTTCTTTCAGTGCATTGGAGAGTGGTATGACATGTGGATTGCTCAAAAACAGTATTTTATCATCATAGATATCTAGATTGCAGGACAAAAAAAACAGTCCAACATTTTTGAACTGATAGGAGTTTGCATACTTAATGTTGTGTATTGTTTTTCAGTCAATTCAACTGAAAATTAAAAACGTAATTTTATGGATTTTTGACCATATAAGTACAAATACTTACTTCGTCTTAAGAAAATAAAGTAACACATACACTTAAGACATTCTAAAACAAATACCACATAATGCCTATTACGATAGTTTGAAATTTGTTTCATTATGAGGGAAAAGAACACATAAGGAAAAACATGAAAAGAATTCCAGGACTGTATCTTAAGGAAATGTCCCATGTCTGAAACTTTGCACTTAATTCTTCAGCTTCCAAGCCTACACACATCATGCAATTGCAATTTCAAGTATCAATTACCATTTTTCAATGTGTTTCTAGACTTGTACTAGATTTTGGATTACATTAAAACAAATTCTGGGAAACTTTGAATTCCCACACCTATCATAGAAAATGTAGAAAAGAGTTTCTTTGAAATTAGAACAGCACCCTTAGCAAAAAATAAAGTATTATTAAAATATTATTAGTGAAAACATTATAATCCAAATTGGTTTGAAATCTTAGGAAGAGATTTTGTGTTCGTAAAAAGAATAATTAATAATTGTTTTAATTTAAAAAAAATTTAGGCCGTTTCAATAGTTCTCATTCATGCTGTTGAAAATACAGCAAGGGTTAATTTGTTTTTAATTATTATGTATATGTCTTGTTTTGAATGAAGAAACATAAAACTATCCCTTAAAATTTCTATTAACCTTCTACTTTTATGTCCCCTTGAGTTTCACTCAGTGTTATTACTGTCATGGCACCCAACCTCTAGCTATGCATATTCCTCAGAAGGCAAGGTATGTGACTTCCCTGTGAGCCAATAAAATCAGTGGGATGGTTATTTGGGTAATTCTACCTGCACTTCCCACAGGACTGCATATAAGTTGATATACTGAGAGTACCCAGCAGCATGGAGTAAGATTCAAAAGTCTATCCTGTAACATGGAAGTCCCACAGACCACTGTAACACACTGTTGGAAGCCACTAATTAAAGACAATTTTATAGCCAGACTATTTGTTATCCTTACCATACACTAACATGGAATAGCCTAAAGGGAGAAATGGCTCCCTAGCTTTTAAAAAAAACCCTCTATTGTCATATATCTTTAAATGCAATTCTTGTGTTTATGTGGACATGTTGTAACAAAGCTCTTCAGTAAAATTAATATTGATTAACAGTATTTTTTGGAAGTAAGAGGTGGAAACTATTCTGAAGGTATTAGTGCAGCAAGACTGAAAAGAATGACTAGAAGAAAATATAATCTAAAAGATTAATAGTAAATTATAAAAGAGACCTAGTGGATTTTATCTAATACAGTGATGATAAACAGCCCTGTGGATCTAAATCTGTTTTCCCCTATTTCTTAATTCAGCTTTCAGCAGTATATTATCATTTTTCTATAACAATCCCTTCTGAAATATGCCATTTTGTAGATTATTTCATTAGTAATACTCTGAATACCTGATGAAACAACATATCATGACCAGCTGTCAGAACCAGACATGGATTTTCTGATATATCCTTCCCCCAACGGAAAATGCTTTTCTATGAAAGAGAAAGTACTCATAGGAACATGCTGATTTGTTTCAAAATGAAAAAGATTTAAGTTAAGGTAAAAACATTCTGATCAAACATTTGCAGACTAAAGGTGGGGTTTTTTAATAATAACTGATATAAAGCTTATTTTAATATCTATAAAATTTAAAGTAAATATTTTTTAAGCAGATTCCTCCTCTTTAAAACTTCCTGAATTGTGATAAGGAGACACTATTGTTGTTCCATTAAAGGAATTTCCGTATGTCCTTTTATATAGAGAAGAAATTCTCATTCAGTTTTAGAAGAAACATTGCTGAACTTGGTGCAATTTAAAGGTACAGTGATAAAGAAATATCAATCTATTTCCATCTTGTTTTCCAGTATCATGCAGCAGACAAATAAATTCATAAAAAATCTGGAAAAACTACTGGGAGGTATGAGTTTCTTTAGAAGACTAATGTTAATTAACAGAGTTAGGAAGTTATGATATTGCTACTATTTCAAAGCAAAAAAAAAGTCAAAGTATTAGATATTTGTTAAAGCTTTGTTTAATATATATATTTTGCTTAATATTTAATATTTAAGCTTTGCTTAATATTAAGTAAAGTCTGTATATGCAGAAGACTCAAAGATTTATACATCTGCACTTCACAAACATATTATTATGTGTCCAATAGCAAATACTAACGAGGACAAATTTGAATATTTCAAGAGAGTTTTGGTCATTTAAAATGTCTTGCTCAATCTTCAAAAACCACAGTAATCATTTTTACAGTTACTTTAATTGAAAGTACAATAATCACATTAGCAGCAGAAAATAAGCACAAGCAGGCTTGTTTCAAGGTTAGGGAAACAAGGCACAACATAATCACTCTGAACGTGATCCAACACTCATTACAAATTGTTATGTCAAAGAATTCTTATCTGTGTGTTTAATACAGCACATATCGGCACTGAACCAAATGGCAATATGATAGTTTGGGGACTGTACAGTCTCCGTAGAACAGGAGGTAATGAGATGCTGTGAAAGTAGTTACAAATAATGCAGTGATAGAACAGGCCTAGAAGGTGTCCCTTCTTCATTATACACGTAAATTTCCCCCCATTCAGTAGCATTCCTGTTAGTAAATCGAAAGTCACACCTTGTATTTAGCTGTGACATTTGTTACGTTTATGTGCCACAGTGTTATCACTTGGCAGTCCTCTCTCCTCTGCACAGTCTCTGGAAGGTCTGCAAATCAGTAACTCGGCTTTCCAGCCCAATCGCACATGATATGGTTCCTGCAAGAACCAGACACACAGATGCTTCAGGTTCACATTTTTTTCAGTCCTGATCTTGAATAGAGGGTTTCTATCCCTCAGTGCACTGCAAGAGTCACCCCACAAAATTTCTTTCTCTGTCTGTATCTGTGCTGAAATCTCTAGTCTCTTATGAAGATTCTTCCACTCCATTTCCCTTCATGATGTCAACAAGAAGGGTCCCTAGTTTTCTCACCAAATTTCTCACCTACTTTAGGGTCAGATTGCCTCTTGACAAGAGATTGCTTAATCTCCTTTATGGATTAACAGTCCCATCCAGTCTCCAGGAGAGAGGGATTTCTTGGTTGAATAAAGATGTCGCTCTCTATCCCCTTCCTGACAAGCTAATTCCAGCCTTCTTCTCTGGGCAAAAAGTTTTTCCTTTCTCTTGTTCTTGCTTACTAGCTTTTACTCACCCTCACAAATCCTGCACTTTTATTGCAGGACATTTTATTGGACCTTTTCATAGACCTCAGACTGGGATTTTCCATCTCACTGGTCTTTCCATTTATTACTGCATCATTCTCTTCTGCATAAGGTGTAATGGCTCATACCTGTCCATCTTAAAAATGAGGTAATGAGGATGACTTGTAATTCTGACCTCCAAACTGCACTGCTAGTTGTGCACCTCTAGCTTTTTGTACTGACATATACATCTGCATTTCTCCTTAAGTAGAAGGAACTATGAACTAACTTCCCCTTTTCAGAGTTGAGTTTGTTTTCCTGCTTAAATCTGGCCCTGAATCAACCAAAACATCTAACAGCACTTCTTGCAAACTAAAAGACACAACTTATGTTGAGTTGCTTGAGGTTTTGTTTTCACCTTAGCTATGAATACATATGGCATTACCATATATATCACAGCCTATATAGGAAAAATCCACTTTTAGATTTTCCAGTTCAAGGTACTTGGAACAAGTTATTTTAGTTTTTCCAACTATCAAGACAGGCAGTTCTCACTCAGTATAATATCTCACTAGAATTTCTAGAAACCCTAGATAAGAACCTCTTGAACTGCTTTCTTTAAACTGACTCCAGAAGTTGGGGCATTGCTTTTTTTATTTCTTTCTACCCTTGGGCAGAAATTCTCCATATGTTTTTTCTTACTGCTTTAACCTTTTCTCATATTCTGCTGCTTATCTTGGAGATTATTAAATGCCATCTGAACATTTTGTTGCTTAAACATCACACCACTTAAAATTTTTCTTAGAAAGAAAAAAAAATCAATGAAGTAATCTGTGTTATACTGGTTTTTAGTATTTACTTACAGGTTTCATTTTTAATTTTATAATACATAAAATAATGTCTTCTCACAACTAATGATACCCTTAAAAACAAAAAGCAGTTATATGATAGAGCTTATCACGAATGTTTAGACCACCTAGACATTATGCCTATCAATCCATATCCAATCAGTCTATTGAGATACATAACTCTCACAATTTTAAAAAACTGCTTTCATTTTTAGAGAATGGACTGGTTCAGCACATGTGAAATATTTCCTTGAATAACGATATTCTAAGACACAGAATGACCCCCTGGCCAGTGCTATGTTGAGTAACTACTGCTTTATTATTTATTGGGAATGGAAGTGGGAACTTCACACTATTTGTGTAATATTTTGGTTTTTTCTTTCCATACCTAGTATGGTTGCTTTAACCTCTAAAGACTAAATATGTAAAGTTAAGAACTTTTCAGAGGTTTTCACTTGGCACTGAAATTCTGTTCTTTCAGGGTTTATATTTCTGTTACTTGTAGACAAAAGAATATTTAAAAAAAAAAAAAAAAGAAAAGAAAAAAAGCTCTTCTAACTGATTTTCTGCAAGATAACCTAAACTAAAGCCTTGGAGGTAACGTAACAGTTAGCTGCTTAATAAAGACCCTATCACAATGTGCACACAAAAAAGAAAACTCAAGAGACATGTTTAAGCCTACTTTTTCTAATTTTAAGGCTTGGTTATGTAAAATAAATGTTATTTTAACATTAAAATAAATTATTTTTTTTTAAATTTTAAACCAAACCAAACAGCCTAAGAAAGGGAAAAATCTGTCACCTAACAATAAAGCTGACCGCTCAGGAGCCATTTACACTGTCAAGATAGCAACAGATGGGACCACTAATAAGCTGTTATCCTTCCTAGTGATTAGCTGATCCTTGATAGAACACATGTATTTAGGAATTTCATGTTTGATTCCAAATTCCGGAGGTCACAAGTCTCTTCTGAGACTCTCTTCAGAACAACAAATCTCTCTGCAGAAAATTAAAGCATCTAAGGCCTTCTCTGAATCTAAAGGGGGGCTTAGTGAACCATCAGAAATAATGTAGACTTCCTTTTCACTGAAACACTCTTCTAGCCTTCATAATCTTCAGTACATCCCACATCTTACTTCCTGCCCTTATTTCCTTTCCTGATGGAGGAGTAGACACACCATACAGCAACTGATGCATATAAGGGGTGGGGGTTCAATATAAGCAAAGATGCTCCTCACACACACCTTGAATTCTCAGAATTTGCTTATCCTCCATCTAATTTAATTAGCACCAAATGCCACTGAGATAAAAAGGACTGAATAAATGTATTTCAGGTTCATTCTTATATATTCTTATATATATTCATTCTTAACTATAGATATGAAGACATGTCTTTGTCTTCCAAGAGTGCAAAAACAATTTTTCAAAAGTCATTAGTATTAGATGATTTCTAGATGGGATACCTGTGGTATGCCATTTTCCCTTGGTTAGCATGTTAGGCTAAATTTTGCAGTAGCATTCAATTTGTTAGTAAATTTTATTGTTGAAAAGTATTCATCTCCAACTACTGTTGTTTTGAAACCATCATGACAGTGTTTCTATTTCACTCTAGTAACTATTACTTAGTGTTTTTATTGCATTAATTGTAAGAAATAATAAGTCAAGGAGCTGTTATTCAGAGAAAGATGCTACAAAGTACCCATCAAAATACAGTGAAGACTGAAAGCAAAGTAGGGACTCATTTACTTCAAGTTTCTCCACCAGTTCAGGTTGCCAAGAAAAAGGAAATAAAAGCCAAGACTAAATGTTAAAACAGGTAAACTGTTATTCCCAGTTCTTCTACCAAGTCAGGCAGGTATCAGAACTTTTACAAAAAGAAGAAAGATCAATTCAAATAAATAAGAATATTTTATATTGAACTATATGCATAACACAAAATATAAAAGGGAATGGTTAGTAGAGCAGACTTTGTTGAAATAGATTGATGAAATGCCATGTGATATATCCTATAATTAAAAACATTAATAGAAGAATAGAAGAATAATAGACTAGCCAGAAAGAAATTTTTTCTGAATATTGTCATCATTAATCCTCACTAATGAATAGCAGTAAGCAATGAAAAAAGACTAGCAACACCAAACTCTTCCTCTCCTTTCCCCCTAACTCACAGTCTGCTTTGACAATCAGAAGGCATAAGCATGCTGCTTGTTTTCAGCATGTCACACGATGGAGAAATTTCTGTGTGCTGTGCCTTCTATACTCAGAGAATGACAAAAAGTAACACGAGCCACTGCGATGCATAATGTGAAAGTCAGAGGGAGGTGTGGGGACTTCTTCTGACTGTAGAGTTCTTTCCATTAGATGGGATCTCTAAAAGCAGGTCTTAAAAAACATTCAAGTTTTCTTTACTTTGCTTTACTAGTTTAGAAGTTGCAGAATTCACGAGAAAACTCCTCTCTGAAGAGACAGACTTCTTGACTACAGAGAAACAATGAATTGCTGGAATGAACTTTCAATGCCACTTTATGTTGGCATTGTCCCTTTCTTCTCCGAGCTTGCACGTAACATGCCACTGATATGAAACCACTGACTACTGGCTAAAGAGCTATGAAAAATGAGGAGGAGATTTTTCAATAAGGGAAAGATGCCCTCAGTTCCTGAAGTTCACGAAGTTCCACTGCACACTGGGTCCCTCTGGATCATTCTCTTTGAATCAAGTGTTTGGAAAAAACATATCCAGTCCCACATATTGAGCTAAAAAATTTACAAAGATTTTTTTTTCCCCCAAGTCAAGAATTTTATGGAATAATCTCTCAAAGACCTTTCAACATCGACAGTACAGAAGTGAAGGAGATCACAGAGAGTTGTAGTATAACGATGTAAGAATAATTTTTTCACTATTTAGTCATCCTGTACAATTCAACAATCTGAGCTGCTTTCTTTTGACATTGCACAGCAGGTTCGCCTTTATCCTTGAAGAGTAAGCCTGCTGTGCAATCAGCATATACAGCCCTCCAAGGCTTGCATGGCCTAGAAGACAGTCTGCATTATCAGTTGAATAGAGCCCTTTGAGACTATTTTCAGGAATCATCAGTCACAGTAAGTTTAGGTCCACATTTCTTAAACCAGAGAAGACACAAAGCGCATGGAAGCCCCCAGTAATTAAGGATGCAACTGACCATGAGTATTATCAGATTTCTGAAAGTAGTTTCGATACCCAAAATTCAGTTTGGTAGACAGACCATTTATCATTAATAACTTCTACAGGTGTGTTTAAATTACTAAGCAATGATAAGACAAAAATACTCCCAAATTATTGATGATAAGTGCGTATTTCCTAGAAATAATACCATAAAATAACAAAAACATTTTTAGTAATAAAGTAGAATTACTAATTTGCTTTTATTAAAGTAATTAATTATCCCTTAAAATTTGTATATTAGGTAGGTCTAACTGCAAATCAGCAAAACATTTTTCTGTATTTTGTATTTCTATTTGCTTCATGTTCCAGAACTCATTTAATTATCCAAATTCATTTTTTGGGTTTTCCATAGTGTGATAGTTTTTAACAGCTTAACTAGGAATTAAAAAAGCATGTGAATTAGTCAAGACTAGATTTCCAAATGCTGCATTTTAAGCACATGATTATGGGCAACAATTGATGACATTGTATATCCAAAGAAAGGAAACTTCTTTCAGAAGGAGCAGTTAAACAATCAGCACAAATGGCAGAATTGCATTTCTGTAAGAGAAAATCTTCACAAATCCAGTTACAGTTCTCCAACTTGTTGCACAATTCTTATATATGCACAAATTTTATTATGGCACTTGTATTTTTGCAATTGTCTATGTTTCATGTGGGTATATGTGTATTTGTAGGCCATCATCTTCATAAAATACATGCCCCTTTTATTTTTGCCCCTACATATAAAATTTTTGCAAATAAGCACTGGCTTGCACAGCAAAATCATTATTAATGACAACAAAAACTAAAAACTTTTACATATCATCCAAGGCTGGAACTACTTATTTCAGTGTATGTAGAGTCAGTGCCTTAACTGGCAGTTTTTATTGCTAGACCATCCAACTAACAGAATGTAATACTGTTTTAGGCAGATACCTAAAGCATTTTACTTTACGGAAAAATCAGTATTTTTATTTGTCGTTCCCAGAGCAGTTTTTCATTTTGTTGCCTAACTAGAGAGTAGTCCTCTTTCAGATGTCAAGTTTTCCATAACATAATTGTCCTGTACTACAGACAGAGGAGGATTAAAGCACAGAGAATGACTCCCGAACTCCTCCCTACTTTCTTCAGCTGCAAGAACACAACTTGAAGAGATGCTGACATTAAGCTGCTGAAAACCTTTAAATTAAAAAGTGTTTTCACTCTCTACGGAAGAGAGGTTAAATTGCTGTCTTTTTCATAATAAATGTGACCGATGGTCACAGAACCCAAAAAATGTGAAAATTCATGACACAAGGAAATTCTGCTTTCAAAAGCAAGAGTATCTGGTAAACAAAGCTGCAGCTTCCCTACAATAAACAAGGTAAACATAAAGCATTGTAGCAGTTCAACAGTAATAAACAGGTGGGAGTCTTCTATTTGGGTGATACTTGTAAAGTGGTCTTGCTGCATTAGATTTTGTAACCCAGACTAATGGGCTGTAAGCCACTATGTAAATGGGTTAAATTAAGAGGGAGGAAAATACATTTTGATTATCCTTATATATACACATATATACATATATCATTTAAGTGCACACATGTATAAATACGATATAAATTTCAAGACCTCACAGTTCACTAGGCAAAGAATGCATCACAGTATTTTAAGATCAGTATTTTAGAATTTTCTTCTTTAGATACTCACCCATTTTTCTGGAGCAGTAGCCTTATGTATAGCCTAAGGATCTTTTTCCTTATGAAAGGACTGCTTCTGAGAGGTATACCTAAAAGGTAGCTATAAAAAAACAATCAATCAAAGCTTTTGTAACAGATGTTAGCATGGAAGGTGTGCAAAGTATTGGAAGAATGTGAGATTTTTAAGACCTGCGAACTTTGTAAAAGTGTAATAGGTATCTGTATAGAATCAGATGAAAATGTCCCATTTCTTGGAAGAACATAGAATCACTAGAAAGAAAATGAATTTATGATAATTAATGCAAATGCCAGTCTAACTGAACTGCCCATAGAGAGTGTCAAACCTCTGAGGACAAGTTTTAGGTTTAGTACCAGGAATGCTTGGTGAAATGTGATAGCCCATGATAAACAGGATGTCTGTATGATCTGTCCTGGTCTAAACTTTGCAAATAATGAAATCTGAGATGATTAATATACCAGGACCAGATATAAATAAGCACATGAAGAAGCCATGACATGTTTTATGTGAAAGAGCTGTGTTAGAACAAAACTGCCAATGAAGAACAATTATGCCTCTTTGACTTCCTGCACCTTTTTCAGGACTTTTTAACCAGAAAAACCTGAAAATGCTGGCTTTTAAACACATGGAATACTGGCCATTGAGTCAGTGCAATCTGGAACCAATTATAGAAGACAGAGAATTTGCCATCAGCTTTTAGAATAAACAAACAAGAATGGTGAGATACTCTACAGTACGTGATCCAAATATCAATTGACTGAATATCTGCACCTTATGGTTTGCTGTAGTGGATAACAGTCCAGTATCCTGCCTAAGCTGAATGAGTCCCTTGACACTTGGTCATTCAGCTGTTCAATACATGAACAACAATCTCTTCCTAGCTGCTGAACAGAAGCCCTGTTGTATTATGAGGTAGAATTCATATGCTGTTATCTCAGTATCTAGCTTTTGACATTTAAATGTCAGCTGACCAAACTAAGTCACTTCAAATTCAGTGGTATGACAAAGAAGCCTTCACATTGTGATTCATCTTGCCTTCAAATAGATGTACTATGAAGCACTGAGTGAATTGTTTGATCAGTTGAAATTTGGAGACTCTATATTACTCCTGTATGAAGAATGCTACAGAACGGAACCCATTTCTTCCATAACATCATTTAAGCTACATGCTGGACAAGCTTTAAACAGGCCAATATCTTAATCATGGAGAGCCTTAATATATCTGAATAGAACTTTAAATAACTTTTTCTTAAAAACCATAGAACATGATTAGCAGAATAATATAGTATAATCCTGCACAACTAGAAATATTACTTATTGTTAAAAAAAGAACAGACCCTTTTATAAAGCCTGCCTTTTACAAAGCTTCAATTTCTACAATAAAAGAGGTGTATCAGTCTCTAAGACTGAAATATATAAGGTATCCAAGTAGTGTAACCAGTTCAGAACCCTACAAATAGGGTTTGTACATTGATTTACTCCACTTAACCAGGACAGTCCTCTACTATAACTACTCCAGAACACCAGCTCAAATATTGCTCAAACAAATAACAGATACAGTTATTTACAATTACTAGGAAAGGCAGCATTAAAAATAACAATTAAAAAAATAGGAAATAAATGCCCTGAGAAACATTGTTAAATTACTGGTTATCTGTATGCTGACTCATCAGTCATTTCCACATGTTCTAAGATCTATTGGTAAACCTGTCGTGGTTTGAATTTTGTTTTCCCCCAGAGGCTAAGAAAAGTGGTAGACCCCAAGGGGTGGAAACCCCTGGAAGTTTTGGAGTTCTGTCCAATGGGCGCTCCTGCAAAAATGTAAACATATCACAAGCTCACCGGAAGAGATGAGTTGTAGTTTTGGTTGTTGTTGGAGAGGTGGCCATGCTGTGAGCCACGAGGAAGGGGCTCTGAGCCCCTTGGGCCCTCTGGGCCCTCCCAGCCCTGGCTGGGGGGGACTGCAAAGACTTGAAACAGTGCTAGACTGGACTAAGTGCCTGTAGTTATGCCGGGGGATGTTTTCTCCATGGGCGCAGAGTAGCAGCAGGCACTGACCAGAGAAATGGTGGCAGAGAGCCAGAGATAAGACCAAGAAGCAACAGAAACATGCAGCACCGCAGAGAAGACTCCTGGAAGACAGAGTTGGGAGAAAGAGAGCCAGCAGCTGAGAGACAGAGTTCTGGGGGTAAGACTGTACCAGCCCCCCAAAACTCCTTTGAGATCCCTCTGAGAAAAGAGGGAGATGGACTCCTATTAAGGAGAAGAGTTTTAGACATGCAGCACTAGAGAGAGAGAGGAGCTGAGAAGCTCAAAGACGTCCCGGAGCTGGACCGGGACGGCCAGAGGAATGCGGGGGGAGTTGACCTTGGCTCCCCCCCTTGCACTGCTGCCACGGTGGCAGCCTGAGAGACAGGGCACAGAGGCCCTGCAAGGAGCTGAGTCTCCTGGAGATACCAGACCGTCACGAAGACCCCCCTGTGTCTTCGTGATATGACGTGGTGAAACGACCTTGTCTGGGGTTACGAAGCCCACGGAAGACCCCTCGGTTGGAGGCGATGGGGCCGAGAGAGGCTTGAATACCTCCCTCGTGAGTGCTGGCAGAAAGCCAGCTATCAGCTGCTGCATGTGGAGAAGACAGACAGACTGCTGCCTCAGAAGATGCTGTTGTTCAAAGACTGAAAGGGATCTGTCCTTCTTTCCCTCCTGGACTTTTATTTGGAGGGGAGAAGAGATCTGGTCACTGTAAATACTATATGTCATGGTAGAGATAGTTGTGATCATGTGTATAATGTGATATGGTATTTATTTGTACAGTCATTGTAATATATTCCCTTTCCCCCACTTTGAGTCTGGTGTGTTTTGTCTGGAAAAACCCATCTCACATTAAGTTGAGATGTGGGAGGGGGAATAGAGCTAGGGAATTGGATTTTGGGGCTATCTCAAACCATGACAACCTGCAATTTGGTAGAGCACAATCTTTAACAGAAAGAGATGCATAATCTCTATCTTCACTGTCAAATTTAGGAACCTGAGTGAATCAGTGATTTTCCCAATGCTTAATTTAAGATTCTGTCATTTATAAGTCTTGGAGTTTTTTTCAGTAGAAATTGCAGGATTCTGAAAGCTGCTCTGAACAACATGTCAGCTTCTTTTTTGGTAATCTATATGACTTCCCTGTAGTATCTAACAAGTTTATACAATATGCAAGTAAAAGAGTAATAAAAAATGAACAGAGTCTGAGAAAGAAAATGGTTGTTTCTTCTAAAAAGGTTGTTTCTTCTAATGCTTATAACCATGTTTATACAAAGCACAGTGTTCAGTAATGAAATTCAGCAATTCCCTTTCGTGAATTATACAGTTTAGTAACTGATACAGCAGATATGAGCTATCATTTACAAGAAGATGCCATCTGCTGAGCAAACACGCAATCAGCAGGCACTTCCTATTACACTGAAATTTTTTTGTTCTTTATTGATTTTCTCCCTTGCATTTCTAAAGCCCCTCAAGCAATCTGAGCCAGAGTAGCAAATCAAAAAAGCAAAGGACTTCTCAATGACCCCAATATCAATTCTGCTTTGTACTTTATGCTGTCTCAAGGCTATGGGCCTCATAGGTTAGTTCAAGCAAGAGAGAGAAAATAGTACATACAGTGCATGTGTGCATATAGTTCAAAGGCAACTGTGTAGAAATGGTAACCTAACCTCTGAGATTAAACATACTTCAAAAAAGCATTACAACATTAAACATACTTCTATACAAGCATTAAATTATTCACCTCTATGTCATTTAATTGTTGCTGCATAATACCTCTTTTTTTTTTCTTCAACTTGTTGTTCAGTTTGCTTCTGCTCTTTGTCTAGCTTATCTGATCCACATAGGAGATCTTCTGGAGAATTTATGCATAAATAGATGTGTTCGTATTCAAAAGCTATTGTTCTATATTTATAGAAAAAAAGTGTTAGTAAATACTGTAACAGATACCATTTTTAAGCTTACTTTTGTTTTCCCTTCCATACCCATTTTTCCATCATGTATAAAAATGTAGGTTTTTATACTCTACGCTTTGAATGAAAAAATGCACTTTTAAAACAGAAATACCTCTGCTACTTCATATAGTCTTTTTCATCTTACAGAAAAAAAAAATAAAAAAATCACTGCTTACTTTGCTCCCCATGCTTCTTTATTTTCTTTCTGCAAAGAAAGTTAGAAATAAAGTTCTGAAATCAAAATATATATTTGGAACAGCTTCCATGGAATGTGTATAAAGAGCAAAATAATAATTTATTAACTATTGTCACTACCTCATGCAAAATACCGCTAGGGGCACCTAACAAGAGGAGGAAGAAGAAAACAAAATATTGCAATATCTCTTTTTTGTTATTTTCATTAATTCATTTTATTATTAATTGGCACCTCAAGGAAAACAATTCCCATCTATTGTATAAATTTCATTTGCATCATTAATATGAACACCAAATATTAAATGAAAGACATTATTATTAACACATGTAGTAAGGGAAATTTTACATTAATAAATGTGTTTACATAAATAGTATAATATTTATATTATTCAATGTTTAAATTTATTTTAAAATATATTAAAAAATCAAAATAGGCATTCATATTTCCATTCTGAAACAACAATTTAAACTTGTAATCAATGAGAAAGTTCTTCCTGGAAGTTACCAATATCTTTTGGATATCATTTGCACACAAATCTGCTTGTGCAAACTCTGTTTCCAAGCTTTTAACACATGGCATAGACCATGATGTATAACTTATACCACACCTCTCTAGGTTTCCAGGAAACTAATGATGTGATCTTTGTCACATTGTTTCTACTTAGTTTCAGTTGGGGAAGGGCTAACAACATTACTCACTGCCATGAATGCCTTGTTTGGAAAATACTATTAGTTATTAGAAGAATCTTTTTTTCTTTTAATTTTTCAAATTGACTCATTAAATCTGCATCAAAAATAAACTACCCATAATCCATTATTGAACTATTGAACTGTTCAACAACCCCTGTCTCTCCTCCAAAACTGGGGAAGTATTACTGCATTCAGACTGTGTTAAGAGAACTTCAAATAGAGTAACACTAAAAACCTTGAGAAGAGGATAACCTATGACAAGTTATGTACTGGTAGTTGGATAACAGAACTACTACAGACTGATTCTGCAACAAAAAAACTTCTTGCTGAGGTAGCAGCAATTCTTGCATCTGGGCTTAGAGAAAAAATCTAAACTGAACAGTTTCAATAGATGTTGATCTTACTTGATTGTGAGAATGTCCTGTAACAAGTATATGGCTTACAGAAAACTCCCTGTCTTAAATAATAGCTAGTTTTCTCCCTATTGATTTGGAAACAAAAATAAAGGCATATTGCTTTTTCTTTTCTGGCAATATGGTCCAGTGAAAATGCCCTCCTCTTTCAGACACTTAGAGAATAATCACTTGTTTCACATTGATTACTATATTTTCAATTTTGTTTCCTAAGACTCTTACTTTCTTGGGTGGGGGAGGGGAGGGAGAAAGGACAGGAAGGAGGCTTCAAATATCTTTCCTATCATAAAACAACTTGTTACCATGAACAATGTATGCCCACCTAATACATGCCATCTGCTCTCTATTACTACTGCTGTAGCACTCCATATAAGCAAAGTTTTCAAAAATCTAAAAGATCATCAGATCTAAAAGAGAAAGGTCTAATAACAAAAGGAATATTTCTCAGTCAGACAAGTTTAGTTGGTATTCCGTTGGAGCACGTCTGGACAAAAGGTTATTTCTCTGAAAATTTTCCTGTAATTTAACCTCAGGGAGGGTTAATACCACTGGTATAATGTGCAAACATGGGCAATAGGCTATTAGGTCATCACTATACAACTGGAATAAAATGGCTCTTTAGCCATACTTTCAAGATGATAGAGGACAGAACTGAAAAATGCAGGAATGCTGTACCAGAAGTAATATAAAGGCTTGGAAGAGACAAGTGTACTTAATTAAATCAATGCAAGTAGATTGAGGGACTGTTTCTAATACAAAAATCTTCTGTTTCTTTTTCTTATTATAGAAAATGGACCTCCCATGAGAGGAAGGAATAACATTATTATCAGTAGCATCCATAAAGCAGGGAAATGAAGAAGGTCCCCAGCATGCCATTACTGGGGGCTTATCCATTAGTTGCTATCTTTAGCTTGTAAGTAAGAATTACAGAGGAAACAAGAAAATATTAAACAGGCTTACCTTTTGTAAGAAAATAGAACACCACAGTTAAAGCAGACAGAAAGATTTTTCTAATCCAGAAAGCAAGAAAGGTCAAAAATAAGGCTGGAATGATGCTGTGTTTTATGTTGTATCACAGCACAACTGCACAGCTGCAAAATCCTGCTCTTCTGAGCTGTTGACTTCTGTTTTCTCTTTCTTTTTTTTTTTTTCATAATGACAAAAAAAATGCTAGTGAGTGGTCCAGACTCTACTACTTTTACTCATGGTTGTCTTTAAATGCATCTTTAGTTCTAGGTCTGCTACTTGTCTCTCAAACTCTTCTATGCTCTTGACATCTCCATAGAATCATAGAATCACAGAATGTTAAGAGGTTGGAAGGGACCTTAAAGATCATCTAATCACAATCACTCATGCTATGGGCAAGGACACCTTTCACTAGGTGTTTCCACTCTTTCAGTTTGTACCCAGTACCCCTTGTCCTCTCACTACAGTTCCAGATGAAGAGTCCCTCTCCAGCTTCCCTGTAAGCCCCATTTAGAAATGGGAGATATAGATATTAGATTCTACTATTGACCACTTGCACAGTTCAAGGTCACAGAACGGAAGCAAACAAATTTTGTAACAAAAGCAAATGGAAATTGTCAGAAGCAAATAAAAATGGTACAGACTTTCCTCTGGGAAAAAAAAAAGGGAATAAAAACCTCAGAAGGACTTCTGTTCATCACAGTAAATCCAACATTTAATTCTAAAGAAAAATAGTCTTTGACAGCTCTCAGAGTAAACCTCTCCTATCTGGGACCATTGCAAAAGGACTCAAAGAGGGTTCTGACTCAAGGACTTACAGTGAAATACTGCAATGCCTCCCTCTAGTTTTGGCTGGTTCTTTTGATTCCATATGATTTTGGATCAGAATTCAACATCAGAAAACTCACAGCATGGGAGTATTCATTTGAGAATGAGCAGGAAGGAACAACAGAGCCAAAAAAATCTTGTATTTCATAATGGTAAGAGTGGTGGTGTTAATAGTAGAGATATTTTTTGCAGAGGTATCACAGGTCTCCTTTATAAGAATGAAGAGATGATGAATCTCAATGGTACCCACCTACCAACTATGAGAAGGCTCTCAGGATGCATTATATGCTGGTGTGCTAATAATGCATCACAGGAGATCTTTTCCAGTTATTAGAGGGAATTTGGATGAGAAGAAAGTAATTAATTGTATTGTTTTATCTAAGAAAAGGCAATGCTTTTACTGCATCTATGTGCAACCAGTGTGGCTTGAGGTTTGCACAGTCATTATTGAATTCCATCTCCTCACAGAACGTGCACAAGAATAGCAACTGAAAATCATCTTGATACTTGATTGTATTTTGTAGGCAGGCACCACTAACACATTGAGTACAAAGCCAGTTCAGCAGCTGCTGATTTTTCCAGGTGTATTGGGTTTGCATGGTAAGGTTTTGGTAGAGGGGGGCTGCAGGGTTGGCTTCAGTTCATCCCACATTCCCTATCACCTTGTGCCCCTGTGGGGAAGTAGGCAGAAAAAATCATAAGTTAAGCTCAAGAAGAAGGGAGGGGTGGTGGGAAGGTCTTTTAAAATTCTGGTTTATTTCTTATTACCTACTCTAATTTGATTGGTAATAAATTCAATTAATTTCCCTGAGTCAAGTCTGTTTTTCCCATGATAGTTAGTGTTGAGTGATCTCTACCTGTCCTTATCTCGACTCACAAGCCTTTGCTTATAGTTTCTCTCCTCTGTCCAGCTGAGAAGGGGAGTGATAAAGTGATTGTGGTGGGCATGTGATGCCCATCCAGGGTGAAATCTACCACACCAGGAAGCTTTGAGAGACACATTGACTTTGATTTTCTGGTATCATGAGGAAAGAAGGAGTGGTCTCTGAGAACTTGCCAGAGCTTCATTCTGACAACTCCACTTTAAGGCTTATATCTTGCTAGTGATACTGAATGCAGAAATTAAGGACTTCTTCCAATGATAGTCCAGGAGCTCTCAATCAGTGTTTTTCTTGAGGCTTTAAGATCTGCTAATTATTAAAACAATTTTAATATAACCATTACCCATGCCCTTGCAGAAGACAGCTGATGGAATCCATCTGCCAAAGGATGGATAGAGATGGAGCACTCCATTTGGTGATGCCAAACTTGGGATTTCAGTCAGAGAAGCTAAAGAAATATCAACACTTATCTGAGGATGGTTGAAAAACATCACTAAAGTTCAGAAGAAAAGAGGTACCTTTGACAATCAAAAAAAGGACACCAAAGTGGGTTATATGAATTTAGCAGTTCACATCAGAAGAAGATAAATGGCTACCCTACTGTGTATATGCATGTATCAGTATAAGGTATAGCAAGGGTTTCGTTGCAGCTTCTACAGAAACGGAAGAAATATATAAAAAATTCAAATTATAATGTCGCTGCAGATATGGATTATTACTAAAGACTTTTTGTCTTCTAAAACAAACTAAATTATTGTGAATAACTAGATACAAATAAAGTGTTTCATGCTTGCATGAGTATTTAAATTATGGCAAAAGATATAACCCTTCTATGTGAGCTGGTCACAAGCTACTCAAAACTAATTCATGGTAGAAGCAGAAAGAAAGTAGTGAAGAATTTGGAGTTGAACTAAGATTGTTACTGTCATACTTACCAGAGTCACTTTTCACACTCCTTCTTGATCTTGAACCTCTATTTTAAGATTCCACTCCAAATTCTTACAGGGGAAAAAAAGCCTTGTACAATGCTTAAGAAAACAAGTTAATGGCCAACAGCAATGAAAGTGTAACATCACACTAAAGAGTAGCATAGCTTTTAAATTTTTTCTCAAGCATCATGAAACAATATTAAAAAAAAATCCAGCAGAGTCTCAGGTACAAGAGAGATAAATAAATATGGACCATGCTATAAAAAAGTAACAATATTTTCCAGATTTAATTTACTTTTTTTTTGGTTGTTTAAAATAACTATATACACAAAGAAGCTGAACTGTCTTACAATCCATACCTGCACTTTGGAAGTGTATATGCCATCAGCACTTGGAGAGGGAGGTTTCTGTATAAGGAGGTCATAAACATCTCCCAGATGCCACATACCTAAGAAAATACAAAAGCAGGTGCCAAATATTCTCAAACTCCAAATCCCAAAGATTATTGGGAACTTCAAGGAAATAGAAGTGACAGAGATCAGTGTCCATGAGAAAAACACATCCTGTAATCAGTGAGTAAAAGCCTTATTTCCAGATGAAAGTTTACCTATCTGTTCCAGAGAGGACTCCAGGCAAAAACTCGTACCCATGGCACTACCCTCCACCTCCCACCTTCTTGCCCGTGTATGCATATATTGGATCTGAATCAAAATCCTGAGTCTGTTGGACAAACTCTGGCATCTGGACTGCTCTCCAAACTGCAGTAACATTTTGAATGAGCAATGATAACATTTGGTGATTGCATGAATATATTTTGACTATTCAGTAGCCCAAGGACACAGTTTAACTGGTGGTTACAGATAGGCACTTTGTTTAGACACAACAAGGGGTAATTGCTCTAACAGAATATCTGCAGAGACCAGGCCATCAACTATAAACTGTACCCTCTTTTATATTATCATATTCAAAATTAACCACTATTCAACCATTGCTTAGGTAGAGAGGTATCTCAGCCTGTGTGCACTTCAATCGCACTTACTTTTACCTTGCAAATAGCTCTTGCAACTGGTCACCTTCCCTGTGTGTGTTTTCATGTCTATATATATGCTTTAAATACATATATATTATACATATAATATATATTATAATCTACAATGTATCATTAGTTGTATATTATTCATTACATATTATATATTACAAATTATATATTATTATAAACCCTATGCTTTTGCTAATTTATTGTAACTAAGACTATATTATATATAGCAATGTTAACTTTGCTAACTGTTTACAGATTGGTCATTCTGCAAGTGACAGGAATGGAGTGGTGCAACAGCAACTTGAGTGGTGCTGGCAAGCAATCTTATTACTGAGGGTACAGCCACTAATAATGGCTTCATGTAGAAGTTAAGTTGGCCAACAAGTAAACCACAATACCTAGAGAGTGAAATTCCCTCTCTTAACAAAAATGTATAGCTTTGAGATATATTTCTGACTGACTACATACCTGGGATGATAATACTAGTTATGACTTGCTGTATTGGGTTTGTGTGACCAGGTTTTGAGAAGTGGGGGGTTACGGGGGCAGCTTCTGTGAGAAGCTGCTAGAAGCTTTGGCAAATCCATGTTGACTACTCCTGATGACTTTCTTGTCCTTGTAAAATGTGCCTGAAAATGCTGTCCAGGATTAGCTGCTCCATCACCTCTCCATGGACTGAGGTGAGGCTGACTCCTCTATAGTTCCTGGGGTCCTCCTTCTTGCCTTTCTTGAACATAGGATGATATTTGCCTTCCACCAGTCCTCAACCACTTCTCTCAGTCACTCAAGGATTATTGATAGGGGCTTCACTATGAAGTCAGCAAGTTCCCTCAGCACTCATGGGTGCATCCTATCAAGGCCCATGGACTTATGTATGTCCAGTTTGAGTATTCCCTGACCTGATTCTCTTTCAGAAAGGGTATGCATTCCTCGCTCCAGCCTTTCCCTTTGGTCTCTGGGACCTGGGATTTCTGTAGGTTGGCTCTTGCCTTCAGTAGGGACTGAAGCAAAGAAGACATTCAGTACTGCAGCCTTTCCCATGTTCTGTACCATCAGGCTCCCTGCCTCATGCAGCAATGGGCTCACATTTTCTGTAGTCTTTCTTTTGTGATCTATGCATGAACAGAAGTCCTTCTTGTTGCCAGATTCAATTCCATTTGGGCTTCAACTTTTCTAACTGCGTCACTGTATGCTCAAGACAATGTTTCTGTGTTTCTCCCAGGTTACCTGTCCCTGCTTCCATCTTCTATATGCTTCCTTTTTGTATCTGTTTTCCCTAGAGCTCCTTATTCATCCAATCAAACCTCCCCGCATTTTTGCCTGACTTCCTACTCATTGGAATGGACTGCTCTTGTGTTTGAAGGAGATGATATTTGAACATTAAATAGCTTTTTTGGGCCCAAATATAATATCAAACTAGCAATATTGGATGAGGAGAAAGTGGTAAAAACAGCCCTTTTACTTTAAAGTGTTGAAATTTGTCACAGAGTCTCAGTTCATATTTCGTATGATGAATGGCCTTGTACAGGATACTTCCTGCAGTACAGTGGTGCAGGTTAGTAATATAGTTGATGAGTTCAAATTACAAGTATTTGCTGTTTGCAGAAATCTTAGGTCACATAAAACCATTTTAGTTTATTCGCTTACAAACAAAACTTTCAGCAGAAGTGAACTGTTTAACAGATGCAAACTTAAAACACCACTCAATTACACTATTGGATTACACAGCAAATCCAATCTGAATCAACTACAAAAAACCTGCATATAAACACTGATATTGCTTTGACTGATAGAATACAATCTCTATAATCTTAGAACTTAATAGTTTTCAATATTAAGTTATAATTATGCTTTCAATATATCAAACAGTTTCTTTGAAGAAGAATGGGATTACTGAATAATAAACTGTTACTACAACTGACTATCTACTGAATCAGAATGATAAATCTAAATGGTATTGTAAGGACCTTCACAGGATATACATCATTATTTCTGATACTTAGTCTACAAACCCACAACAGATTAGCACTTTTCACACATTTATTTAGCTGAATTAGTGACCAAAATATTTCTGTCAAAGATCAGCTTCTTTAATACAAGGTGTCATTAGCTTAGTTATAGAAAGGAAGCATAATTTACCTTACAAAACCCAGAGATTTCTAACTGGTCAAGGACTAAGCATACAAGCACGCGCACACTCACACACACACACACACTGCACATTTCACTTTCAGTGCATGTGAAATGCTGGTTTCTAAATACACAGTCTTTCAGTTTAAATAGTCCTTGAAACACCTGTAAGAGAGTGCAAGCCCACAGTGACTTAACTACCTTTCCCAAAATTCAAGTTACAAAAAGCTCAGAGGAAGCGAACAAAACACATTGCCTTTATGCATCTTGATGAACTACACCTAACATGTATAGGCACTGCACAGGGTGGGAGCTGAGGGTTTTCCATGCACCAGCCGGGAATCGAACCCAGGTCGCAAGAATGGGAATCTTGCATGATACCACTACACCACTGGTGCTTCCCTACAGTCTCCAAATAATCAAATGAGAAGTCATTCAGTGTCATTTCACTCTAATCTACCCCAATGGATCTATTAACAAGAACCTCAGTTACCCTGCCTCAGAGGCAGGTCAAAACAAGGACTATGGAGGAAAAAGAATTGTCTACCAGAAATAAATTACCTGAAGAACGTAACACATATCCTAAAATATTGACAAAAGGTCACTGGACAATTAACTATTCACCTTGCCCAGGGAAGTTTTGAAACAGTCAACATGGAAAACCCTAAAAATGTCATCTCTTTGTTTCTTAAAATGTGTATAAGTAGAGTCAATCTTCTTTTTGGAAAGGCAGTGATTAAATGGTTTCAGAGACTCCTTCCAAAATGTCTCTGGTTATAAAAAGTCTTAAATTTCAAAACACCAAAGCCAAGAGAGTACTTCACCTGAACAGTGCAGAGTAAGCAGATGTGTGCTGAAGCTGTAAAGAAATGAAAGGAACCAAACAGTGACTGTTTCATTCTGATTTCCTATACCTTTCACATGCGGCAAAATTGTTTTGACGCACACAAGGCTACCCATGACTCTAGAAGTCAAAACACTTCAAGCAAGGATGCAAGAGGAACATAAATATTCCAAGCAGAAAAGCAAGTGGAATGCAGCTGAAAGGAGTTCTTCGGTGCAATGTCTACACTCTATGTACAGGTGTCGAAAGTTTTATCACAGCTTCTGCAGCTTACTCAGGAACTCTGTCCTCATATGAGAAGCATACTAAGTGTTTGATTTTTCTTTTCCCAAGCTTTCATACATTTAGCAACTGTGCATAGCGTGCAGCTCTGAGATTTTTCTGATCTAACAGTATCACTAAGATATACACAGTCTTCATGGGAAATAGGTTAATATCAGGTCAAATGCATTGGTTTTCCCCAGCTTCTCTCATTCAAGATGTTTAACGTAATATGAAGGAAAGGAAACACAGATAGGGAGAGAATGTTCATATGGACAACAAATCCCAGAGTATTCCAGTAACTGGAATTTTTTTCCCCACCCAAATTTGCATAAACTTTGTATTTTAGATCCTTCTAAAATCAGTCTTGGAATAGTTTTGGAAAAAAATGAATTCATGACCATTTTCCCAAAGGCAACCCTGTTTCTGGATGCTTCTATACAGCACTCAACATCAGCGTGTGTGATGATTTCCTCATCAATGCTGTCACCATAATTTGAAGTACACGTCTGAATGTAAAAAGTGGATCCCCTTCAAAAGACTTATAAAACATACTAGAAAATATGATATCCATTTCAGAAAATGTAGATCTCTCTTTCTCACTCTCTCTCATATGAAGAGAAAGCACAGGACAGGAAATGAGACTATTTAAACTGCACATGCCTCTGGAATCTCAGGTGAGCACAAGATGCATTTCTTATATGAACTGCGTGTTCTAAATGCAAGTATGCAAGGAAAGATACACTGCCAACCTTTCTAGGAGAAACATTAGAAGACAATTCTCTATTTTGCAGCTTTGTAGGAAGTGGACAGTCACTCTTTTTTAGTCATGTTGAAGTAACCTGTCAAGGCTCTGTTAGGATACAGTTAATCAAAACAAGTACTCAAATTCTTAGACTAGCATGAGGCAGTGTGTTGACCCCTGTACTATATTTGTTATAGCCTTTGGTTAAAACACTTCTTATTCAGTCAAGAACTCCAAAAATATAAAAGGCAACTTTCAAATAAAAAGACCTACAAACAACCCTCTTCATTTGTCCTCTCGGTAACATGTAAGAGGAATAAACACAACTTCTAACTTTTAGGAGGGGTTAGCAGTTGCTCTCTCCTTTAAGATCTAATATGTTACATCCTAAGTCAGCGGTCTTGCAAGTAGAATTGAGAGAGCCTAAGGGTCCCATAAAATAGCATTCCAGAAAATCCTTCCAAGAGTTAACTTAAATTAACATAGAAAGCAATAAATAGAAATCTGAGATTGTATCAGCCTAACTAAGAATTCTGTTTTTCCACTAAAGCAAGATTTAAAAGGTAATACTTCTGAATTGAATTCTATGTTCAGCCTAAACTCATTATTTCCTCAGACTAGACTAAATGGTAGTCTGAAAAGATATTTCCTCTTCAAAGGATGGCTTTAGATCATCCTTTGAAGATATAAATAGATTTAGCTCCTAGAATCCTTCATTACCAGGAACTTGTCGTAACCATTCTCTGTGTCTTGAACCTGAATTTTCACACGCATTTCTTGAATTCCTGAATATGTAGAAGGACAATAATTGGGGTATACTCACAACAATACTAATTATGTATGAAATAGATAATGCTCTAAAGATTTCTCCTGTGAATGTGCCCAGTCTTTCTAGGATTCCTGTAAAGTTTTGGTGCACAAGATGCTGTCAAGTAATAACGTTTCTCAAATCTGTTTTCCAAGAACTCCCCTTTCAATCCCGATTCTTCACACTTGTCTCTATATGTTCTTACAAATCTGTTTCCTCTTTCAGCTTTTCAGTTAATACTTCCAAAATGGGTAAGATCTCTCTCCATTATGACAGGTATGATGAAATAAAAATTTTATCCTTCAAGAAAGATATCAATGAAATTAAAAATAATAAATTTAGAAAGCTCCATCACTAATTTTAAAATGTTTTAATAATCCCTTAAGTAGCTCCATCAACATCAGAACTAATGAAGCCTGGTTTATTATCCATTTGTGTCCCATCATTGATTTACTTTGGTATGTTAAGGTATGAGCTCTGACTTGGATCATTAATAAGAAGTATGGACATAGCTCCTCCTTTCTCTCATCTTTTTATCTCCTCCCTTTTCCAACACTTCTTGTGTGGCATTTTTGGGATCTAGTAAGGAATGCTTTCATGCTGACAAGATGTATTTATTTGACTCCATCATCAATTCCTACAAAACTTGTAAGAACCTAATTATCTTAAAGAACTTTTCAGATTACCTTGCTGAAACCAGACAATAAAATCCAAAGTTTCTGGGAGGATAAAGAAGATAACCTGTCAGCTATATAAAATCAGCATATACCTAGTGTCCAAAGGCAGAAGAAACTAAAAAATGGGAGGTTTTTTCTGTTATATTACAAAAGCACTGAGAATATTATGTACAGTATAATTTAAAGTGTAGCTGTTTGGACTCAATAAAATGAAGAGTTACAAAATATGTGTGCATAGTATCTTAAAGAATTCAAAGAAAATAAAGAAAAACAGTATTTCAGAGTTTATATTAATAAATATAATATATGAAAAAAAAATCATAAAAGCTTTTACCAAAATGTTTTTGGGACTGAGGTTTCTGTTAAAAAAAAAAAAGAATTTCAGAATCTTCCTCATTGTATGTATTTTGTCTTCTGCATAATTTTAGCTATGTTTTTTTAAAGTAAAGATCAGAAAAGTTGGATGGTAAATTTCAGCCTGAAGCAATTTGAAATTAATTAAATATAATATTACAGACAGACTGAAAATAAAATTAAGGTTCACTTTCATAGGTATGTTTGCAGTGAAAAAATAAGGCTTGCTTCCTAAATTTATATTGCAGGTATTATCTATTCCTGATTTTTTTCAAAAACTCTTCAATTTCTCCCTCAAGTTCTTAACATTTACATTTCAAAACTCTCCAGTGCTTCATTGTTATTCAGAATCTTTTGCTTTATATTCAGTAGATCCCTTTCCTTGGTGGATTTCTAATGAACATTAAAACTTTAAGACACCTTTATCATAAGTTGAAATTATTTCAGGTCAGCACAGAAGATTCAAGTATGCAAGCATTTTTACCTCATTTATATAAAAACAATAAAAAACGTACTAATTCTTCCACAGTTTTTATAATTTCAGAAATAGCATCCGATATTTTTACACTTTCATCTCCTTGGGCTGCTATTTTATTATCCACATATTCTATCAAGAAAATATTCTGTAATTAAAAGTACACACTCACAGCCTGCTAATTCATACATTACTTATGTGATAAAAAGAAGTAGAATACCTTAAGTTTCTCTCAGCCCAAAGTTTTCCTTAATATCTCAATATCTCTCTTACTTCATAGAATCCTGCAGAGATTCATAGAATCATAGAATGATTTGGGTTGGAAGGGACCTTAAAGATCATCTAGTTCCAACCACCTCTGCCACAGGAAGGGACGCCTTCCACTAGACCAGATTTCTCAGCTCTCTTTCCTCTGCAGAGGTTGAAATAACATTGCTATCCTGGCAAAACTTACCTATGCAATTCACACTCACACAGTGATATGAGTCTAACTGGAATATGCCCAGACAGCAAACATTTTGTTCTGTCTAGCAGTATGAAGGTTGGTAAGGGTCTTAGAGAGCCCATGTGGGAGGATCAGTCCAGAATTGGGACACAAGTACTTTAAATGTTATGGAGTTTCCTACTGTTACCTCAAGCATACAATGAAGAACAGATTTACATAGGAATATTTGTGATTAAGTCCCATCAGCTAAGGAGGGAAACAGTACAGGTTTTGTCTTGTTATCTTGATCAGAATGTCACAGCTCTGTTGGACTCCTCCAGGATTCTGCCAACTGTCCTTGTATGGCTGTACCTTCCTAACTGGCTGGGGATTGAGAGTCCTAACTCGAATGGTTAGGGATTATAAAACATGATCTGTGAGAGAAAACTGCAACGAAGCACCTTTCCTAGTCTAGAAGAAGGAGATAAAAAGGCAAATTACTAAAGCTCTCAGTATGCAAAATACTCTAAGAAATATAGTGCTCCAACCCTGGCAGTGCTCAATGCCAGGTTGGATGGGGCTTTGAGCAACCTGGACTAGTGAAAGATGTCCCTGCCCAAGGCAAGGGGCTGGACCTAGATGATCCTTAAGGTCCCTTCCAACCCAAACCATTCTATCATTCTGATTCAAAATACACTTCAGGGGAAGTGTGAGAAAGACAAGGAGAATCTAGCTACATCTACAGAGGAGAAAACCATAACTGATTAAGTATGAGCAAAATGTCCCAGTTTTTAAATTGCTAGTACATAGGAAAAACATTATTCAGAAATGTTTTTCCCTCTTCCAATGTTTTTAGAGCAAACATTTTGACAGGAATGACTTGAAACACTGTCACACTGTGCAGGTAATTAATGAAGACAAAAGAATAAAGGATTAATAGTTAAGTATGAGATCCATTTTATAAGAAGGGTTTCTTCTAATCTTTGAAAAGCAAAGCCCATGTAGATACAGAAAATAGATTTAATGCATACAGATATCTTTTGTAATGTAAATCTGAGTAACATGATAAAAAGAAAACTCAGAGTTGTCCTTACAGTGCCAAAAGTTGAAACATTCCTAATAGGTCATATATAAAATTTAAAAAACAACATGAATTAAAACAAGAAAGAAGAGCAAGGAAAAACAATGCCGAAAAACATTAGTTCACATGACTCGTTCTATCTTCAAACTTATTGCTGTATGTGACAGTGGTCATGTTATAATTTGGATCCAATTCAAACCCCATTAAAGTCACCAATAAATAAACCCAATATTTTCCCCATTCCTAAAATAACTCCATTGCCTCAGCAACTTTTCTATGATGATCAGAAGAATCACTTTGAGCTTTCTGAATGCCACTATTATTTATAAATATTTACTCAGTTCATTGGTTTAGCTATGTTTTTGAAGAAAATTGACAATGGCAAATCAGCTTTATGCTAAACTTAACTGTGGTTCACCTTTAGCATAAACTAAGGTGGTCACCTAACGGAGCAGTTCCATTATCCCTGTTGTGCATGTCTCTCTTTCTCTTGCGTTGGTCCTAATACTCAGTTAGTACATGTTGATGTATATCAGGTCATCAAACTCAGCTGGAAACATATGAAAAAGAAAAATAAAAGGGAACAAAAGGTTCACTAATAAGTATTGGTTCTGTTTAAATGTAGTTATGTTCTGTATATCAGTTGGTAGCAATTGCTGGCATCAGTAACAGGAAGAAAACTGTAATACAGAGCTGGAAAAAAATGGCAAGAACATGCCCATTGGTGGTTCTAATATGACTGTATCTTTACTTTTGAAAGGGGATTGCCTTGGTGTGTTTTTTTTTTTTTTTTAATTAAGATCTGGGCTTGTTTGGTACATTCAGCTTCTCAGAAATCCTCCATCTGTATTCTGGATTCCACTGGAGCCTTGGCAAGATGTAGATATCTAGATGCACAAGCCACAGTGGTACTGGTCATATAAAAGAGAAAGGCTTTTGTATTTTATTTACACTTGTTTACATATACATACATATAGAAAAAATAGCAGGTTTTGTTGTGGGCATCTAAATCCTGTTCTAGGCATTTTCTATTGGTTCCACATGTGGAGCTGTCAATTAACTGAAAATCAGTCAGGCAGTGTGAGGAACTCCAGATTTTAGACTGCAAAGTACAAAATTTCAAAGTGAAGTCTAAACAAATACAGCAGAAAACACAGGAATTTTAAGTAAAATAGAGTCTCACTATGCATGCTGTAAAAGTTTATCATATGCCATCTCAGGTCAAAAAATCTGATAATTCCAGAGGACACTTACACTGTCCCACTAAATGCACACTTTCTTCCAGATGATTTTAGAAGATAAGCAATATTAAGCAGATATGCATCCGATGACTAAAAATATCCAAGTCACTTTATTTAATGATATTTTTAATAGTTAAAGCTGAAAAATAATACTAAAACAAAATAATGAACGAGAGAGTTCTATAGAATCTATTACTTCTTATTTTTAAATTCATATTTGTATTTTTACTTTTACGGAGGACCTTAACTCTTAAAGATACAAAATATTCAGGCATTCATGTACTTTTCAATAAAAGATACTCATTTACTTGCTTGTTTATAAATATTCAAGACTCACTTTGCTGTTCCAACATTTTGCATCTTCCTGGATTTCTGCTTTTTGCTTCACTAACTCCTCAAGGTGTTTTTCATCCTTTATAATCTTCACCTCTGTTTCTTTTAACTTCATACAGTATTCGGTCCAAATAAATTCAGAATTCTTTAACTCATTCCTAATAGAAATACACACAAAGTGAATCCATCTATTTGGAAATATTCCAAGGTAGTCCCTTTCCATAAAGGAAAATGTAAATCAGATCTGAATTAGTAAAGATTTATTTTGATTCTCTATTACATTTCTTGAACAGGTAAGCATGAGAGAATTTCAAAATATCTACCCTGGCAGGTTCATGCAATTTCAGCCAGATATCAAAACTACTCATGCTACCAGTTCACTTGCACTTAAACAGCCTGCCAACGTTGGATCTCTGTGCAGGTTTTGGTGCAGCTAAACACAAGGCTTTGTTTCATATCTCATATGTTTACGAAACAAACTAAGAGTCAACACTCTGCTAGTGGCTGTATCTACTTCAGAACTATCTTCATTTAATCAACCCACTTCACTGTAATTTTGTGGACAAATGTCATTTGTGAAGTAAATTTTTTACCTGCATCAATTTTTCATGTTAAAAGGAACTTGTAGGCAGTGTCAAAGGAGGGGACAAGGTCTTTCACTCTAAATAGCAGATTTAACAGCATTGTTAGAAGGAAAACTTGCCATAATTATAGAACAAGATAATAATAACTTCAGGAAAGCACTCCCACGTGCACACATTTAGGCCTTATTATAGGTTGAAAAGAGGGCTTTTGTTATGTCTGTGTGTGGGAATTGATTTGACAAAAGGCAAAATAAATAGAAGGATATTGGGTTAAAATTTTTAAATGGCTGCTGGTGTTTGTACCTTATTTTTATTATTGTTTCAGCAGGTAGAAAAAACCTTCCCTGCATGCTCCCTAGAGAACAATTCTGGTCAATAACATATGTAAAAGTGTACTTTAAATGGTAAAATAAATCCACCACAGCAGACCTAAGACCAACAGTAGTTGAGTTTTACAGACATCTATTGCATTACAACCCAAAAAATCCTGAAGTGTTGCATATTTAGATACAGTTCAGAAAACAGAAAACAAAAATAAAGAGCCTTCATCACTAATTCAAGAGCCATTTCTACAAGATTATTTTATAGACCTTCTTCCTTAACTTGCTTCCAAGGTTTCATCTAGTGAAGTAAAGACTTACCTTGTGAAGTGTCAGAGAATATATTTTTAGCAACTTTCTGAGTTGTAGTTTTCTCATGAAAAATTACAGCACTATCAGCCACAATGTGTATGTGTAAAAGCAACAGCCTGTGCCATATGACGTACAACAGCCTCAGTATTTTCAGTTTTGTGCAGTCTTCATCATTTTCTCAGTGATGGCACTGAACATAAAGAAAAGAGTATGAACTGCACAACAGTCTTTCAAGTCTGTGCCGCCACAAATCTGTCTTTCTCACACCTATCAATACCACATGTTATTCTAGTCCTCCTCAGATGGCAGCTGAAAGGTCTACTTTCTCTGTAATGCAAGCATGACTTTAACTACCAGTCTAGCAAATAGCTGGAAAAAAAAATTAACAGATATAGTAAGAAAAAAAAAATTTTTTTCACCGAGGTATAAAAAGAACAGTTTTCTAGTTTTTGCCCAAAATGCTGATATTCCTAAAAACATCCTTGTCATTAGCACTTTTAGTTAAATTCACAGTGACACAAAATAGGTTGCAAGGTGCAGTCTACGTCACTCTCATGGGGTATGAATAGGAAATCACATAACTAGGTGAAACAGAAAATATATATGGTATATTTCTGTCAGTATAGATGATTAATTTCTGTTATTATTTACCTATTGCCATTATCATGAGCATTTTACTTACATTATGACTTCTTTCAAAAGAACAAAAGAACAAAGAAATTTTAATGCACCTCAGAACAAAGGCTTGTTACAGGAAAATACCACACTTTCTTTCTTGCACATGAAACAATCTCTAGAGCCTTAATTTGCACCAAGACTACCAAAACAAAACAGAAAAACTGCCCACATTGCCCTATAACTGCTAAGTGAGCTGACAGCTGTGATACAGTGACAGAATTCTACAGGGAACTGAAAAAATCTTGCACGAAAAACTTTTAAAAAGTGAAATAGTCAGAAGGCAAGATAAAAAATTCTAATATCAATGAAAATGCAGAAGTAAGATTAAATGATCAATTTTCATTGAAAGAATAGATCAACAGCATGGTATCTCAAAGTTCCATATCTGTGCTTTGATATATTTACTGATTACGTGAAAGAGCAACAAGTAGTTAAACTAAAATTCTGCATATAATGTGATTACAATAGGCAAGGCCAAATCAAATTAAAAAACTTAAGAAAAATTTCAATGCAAATTAAGTAAATGGGTAACGAAAGAGTACATACCATTTAGTGTCCAAACTCAAAAAGAAGTAGAAGATCAGAGAAATTAAGTACATTTTAAAGTTCCAAATTAAGAAATGGGATGTAAACATTAGAAAAAAAATGAGATTAATATGTTCCTCTTTAAGTCAGTGACATGGCTTAATTTGGAATACTGTTTGCACTACCTTTCAACCCATTTCAGAGAATTATATCACCATAATGAAAAGGAATCAGAGGACATCATGAAAAGGCCATAAAATACAGAAGTCTTCTGAAAGCACATTGAAAATAATGAAAGTTGCTTTAGAAAAAAAGAAAGGAAGAATGAACAAAGTCCTAAGTAGAGGAGAATATAGCCTAGTGAAGAAGGCTAACAATACACAGCAATATTTATCATTGCATACATCTTAAGACTTAGACTCCCAAACTACAGCAATTTGCTCACAAAAGGACAAAAAGACATAGCTGTTGATCGCACTCTGTAAACATGAATCGATAAAGAAAAAGTTTAATCATAAGTATAGGATGGACTGGTTAAAAAAAAAAGGAAAGAAAAAATAGAAAAGAAAGTATAATTTTAACAATTTTTATTCTGGTATTACATGATAAAATCACCTCCAGCAATGGTCACTATAACCATTGCCAATAACTTTCGCCAGCAGCTTCTAATTCAGATGAGTTGATAGAACATTGAATATGCCAGTGAAACACTAAACTGACTTGCAGAGTATCTGAATACATAGTAATAAATCACACAACATTTTTGGTAATACTTCTTACTCAGTACCTGATCTTTTCCATAATTAAAATCAACATGAGGTTTGCAATGAACTTAACAAGTTACAGAAGCAAGGTCCATGCTGTCTGATTTCTCTCAGCTGGAATCCATGGAGGAGATAATGAGTATTTGATCAGATCATCTCTATATACATATTTAAGCTATAATTAAAATTCCAAACATTGTGGAGACATTGTGAAGCTTGCATTCATAGGCTCATATACATAAAAAATGTGTTATTTCACACACCTCTTCTTTTGTTTAGACATACATAGTGACATTAATTGGAGAATTATTTTCAGAAATCACTCCAGCTTTGACAAGTGTTATGACAAAATTCTAGTTTCAGGGGTTGTATAATAAAATACTTCCAATTTAGCTATATATCTGACTACAATTTTAATTTTTCATATACTAATATTCTTTCCTGAATGAAAATCAGGCTCTGAAATTAAGAGCTTTTAGTAACTAAAAATAAATGTATTGACTGCGAATTTACCTTGGAGGTAAAAAAATATAATTAGCATAATTATCATAAAGCTTATATAAAGCTTAGAATCAAAAAAAGAAAAAAAAAGGAAAAATTCAGACATGGGGATGAAAGAAACAAGACACACTTAGTTCTCTAGTATTGCTAAGCTATCCCTCTTACATCATTTGAGTAAACACATGTTACCCAGGATTCCTCCTGCTCACATATTAAAGTATGAACATATTACAGAAAGAGGTATGATCCTTCTTCAGTTCTGCTGTTTGGTGCCAATGACAAAGAGATCCACAGTGATGTGACATCTTAAAGAAATAGGATTATTGCTTTTAAACAACCTTCCTTTGTTCAGGAGTGTGTCAGTATTATTTCTGCTCTAGCTGACTGTCAAGCACAGATCTCCCTGGATAGCAGACATCAAAAGGACCAGTCATATTAGCCAAAGTAATGATTTCCTGATGTTGATAGTTACCACAAAATACATTGTGAGAGTGCTCTGTTTTGGAAAAGTCAGTGCAACTTTGTGCTTCAAGGCTTATTAATTGTCAAGATTCTGAGGCAGGCAGCAAGTACCCCTTCTGTGGGACTGAAAGAGGTGTTTCAAGTTCCTGAACACTAATCAGTTTTTGAAATAAAGTTGCCAATATGTTATAATCTAAAGAAACTGGAAATGATACAACCAACCCCCCCATTATAATCAGTTGCAGCTCTTTACTATGGGATATTGAGCACCATAAACAGTAAGCAAAACAATCACATTTAGTAATTACAGTTATTTCTTGAAGAAAGAACTTAAAATTTAAAACCAAGAGAAAAGGCCTCCATCCACTATGACCTCTTCTTTATGCCCCTCTGAGAGTGGGTCCATCCATGGAGGGGGCCAAGATGCCCCCTAATTCTACTGTATGCCTTGTTTTATTCTACCATATATTACAAATGCAGTAGACATACGGGTTAAATAGTATAACAATTCTTCCTATTTGGTCCATCAAATAAAATGGTAACTCGCAGTACCCTAAGCTCTCTCAGCTACTCAGTTATTTGAAGATTTGGTTTTGGCCTTCATGGTAGACAAGCTTACAAACGACTGAATGGAGGAATTACAATGGGCTGTGTATAAGTATACTGGTTTTGGTTGTGATACAATTAATTTTCTTCATAGTAGCTTGTATGATGCTATGGTTTGGGTTTGTGCTGGAAACAATGTTGATAACGCAGGAATGTTAGCAGCATTTACACAGATCAAAGGCTTTTTCTGCACCTGAACCCACCAGTAAGCAGGCTGGATGGCACAAGGAGTTAGGAGGAGACAGAGTTTGGAGAGCTGCCCCTCAACTGACCAAAGGAATATTCCACAGCATATGCTCAGATGTGATGGAGCTTGGCTTTCAAGGAGATGACAGAACACCTGCCTGCCCATGGGCAGTGGTGAACAAATTCCTTGTTTTGCTTTGCTTGTCTGTGTGGCTTTTGTTTTTTTCTATTAAACTGTATTTATTTCAACCCATGAGTTTTTTCATTTTTACCCTTCTGCTTCTCCACACTATCCTGGCTCAGAGGAAGTGAGCAAGTGGCTGTGTGGGGCTCAGCTGCCTAGTGGGGTTAAACCACGACAATAAATTATTCATGCTGCTTACTTTCTGTCTTTTTAGAAAGTCTGGCAAGCATGCTGCTGGCCTGTACACAACAAAAATGACCACATTTCTGAGAGTAACAACTTCTAGAGTTCAATGTTTTCTTGGCAAAGATGGGTTGATGTGTGGCATAAGATTTTTAGATACGTGCAGACGAGAATCATCTTTGGCAAACAGGCATCCAGTGAGCAGAAGTGAATAACAGCTTTTACAGGTATTCCACCTGTGCTGGTGGGAAGAGTAGCTCTTGTAGTTCACAGTCACATTTGGAAGCATAAAGAGTGTCACAGTGTTCTAGAATCACCCAATAGTCTAGCAGACACAGATGGCCCATCTCTTTGAGGAATATAATGCTGCTGCCAAGAACTTTATGAAATTCCACTGATTATCCAATAAACATAATTCTCCTCTACAAATGATCAGGGAGTATATTGTGTTCACAGTACTTCGTGTGAGCTGAGTGGATCAGTGTATGGAAACAGACATCCTGCAGCAAGAGAATTGCAATGTCTTCATTTTGAAGAGACATGGCACTAACCTGAGAAGATAAATGGATCTTCAGATAACAGATACTTTTCTAAAGTCCTCATTTCTTAAAAAAATAAGGCATCCAGTAACAAGAAACTTTTCTTCAGCTCTGTAATTGCTCCTTTACAGCTCTTAGGTAAACTAATGAGGCCAACTCTGTAGTGAATTTGAACGAAAATGATCCTTTAGAAGAAACAGGGAATAGGAGTTACATGGGACAGTCCCTTGAAATGGATGAGAAATTAACATTTACTGAAATGAGGTTACTAAGGACACAAGTTTGCACGTACAACTCAACCATTAGCATTAGTCTTACTTCCTTGAATGAAGCATCAGTGGGCAGGACAGGTTTTTAACCATGACTGTACATGAGGCACTTTATAACATTAACTCTCTGGAATGTCAGAACAGGGCATGCTGACCCAACTCAGACAGTGCATAGTGCAACTTGAATTATGGAACTGGCATATAGATTCCTAGTGAACCCCAGAGGTTCTGAATGAATAAGATGGACCAAATTTCATGACTTATACGAAATTTATATACTCCATAATTACCATGCAGAATTTTGGAAAAACCTACTACGGCCACTCAGATTTATTTTAAAAATGTACTGATGTCTTTCAATTATGCCTGTGAGCCTTCCTCACCTCAAGTGAAAAAGAGCCACTGTATCACTTGGTACTTTGCCAAATAAAACCTGGTATGGAACCATTGGCATGTGGAGAAAAGTCGAGTGCAACCTCCTACCAAATATCAAAGTACTCGGTATTCTTGTTCTTTGGCAAAGTTATTCTTGGTGCTGACTCTTTGCATATTCAGCGATAGAAAGGAGAGAATACTTGTCGCTGTTTATTAGCAGTGTGCTATTGTTACTACTGCTCCACTTGATAATCCAAGGGTCAATTCTTTTCATTGCCTTTTATATTTCCATAAGTTCCCAATGAACATCACCGCATATTTTTGATGCCTAAGAAAATAAAACAAATCTTCTGAAAGATGTTATACAAAAATCATACATAATGTTTAAAAGAAAATATAATTTCAAGATTTGACTGATTCTTGGCAGTTTAAAAAATGATTTTTAAAGATGAAATTCCAGGAAAAACAACAGAATGTGCTGTAAAATTTCATAATATAATTAAATGTTAGCAAGAGGGTTTTCATTCTGTTAAAAAACTTTGGAGTTCTTTTGAAAAGGTGGCTACTTTCATGGGAAGATAGTGACCTCTGGAGCAGAAAGAAAGAAATAATGTGCAAAGAAGCCACTGAGGTTTCAGTCAGCAATTTGACAAAATCATAACTGAAACATGTAACAGAAGCTCTGCAAGCCTGGCAGTCACCTTTGTAAAGAAGGAGCCTGAGACAATGCTGACAGTGACTGCAATTTTCAATGTTTTTAATAGTATTGGGACACTCGGTTTGTAACAACTCTCAAATAGAGATATGCACGTCTGTTGTCTCTGCTTTTTAAAATATTACAAATACAAATAGATAAAATAATATAAAATCTTTATTATAACCTAGCACACCACTCCTTAAAATAGTTCTCTGGATATTAAAAAAGGGACTGAATATTAAATAATTGTTTTAACTGCAAAGAAAACTAAGTATCAGCTGCTTTTTTTAAGGCTGTGGGAGGAAAACCCAAATCTGAGTAACTAACTACATAAATTGTATTACAATAAAAGCCACAGATAATTTACTTGACAATTAGAAATTCTGTTGAAAGTAAATATATAAATAAGATAAACACAAATATATAAATAGTCATAAATAAATACATATAAATACAGTAACACCAAGTCTATCTTCTTATGATATGCAGAAAAAACTGCTCTGAAAAAAAAGGTATTTATTCAAAAGAGTCTTTAGAAAAAAATATTTTAAGTCTACTTACAGAGTTGTATTTTAGTACGTCTCAATATCTGAACTGCATATAATATATTTTAAGGCATTAACAAGAAAAAAGGATATAAAATTAAAAAGTTATCAACTTGATTTTTAATTAGTATTTCAAACATATCTCATAGCACTGATAGAACTGCGAGCTGTTTCATAGGTTAGAACTAATTCTTGATAATTCTCATACTATTTGTGTAATAGGCAATTAACTTTTTCATTTTAGAAGTGTTTTGACATGACTGTAGAGTTATCCAAATATGAATTGAAAATAACACAAATTAAAAGAGACAATATTATGAATCACCTAAAAAAAAAAAAGAGAGCATTTTAAACTGTAAATATCTTGAAGAAGATATAACACTCTAGAGTTATATAGAAAATATATAGAAAACATAATAATTATCACTAGCATTTGAACTTGAAGAAAAACATTATCCCTCCAGTTTCAGGAATCAGTTTTAAGTTACATGGAAATTTGCTTCACTTTGATTATTTAGACTAGTATAATCCACATTAGCATTTATTATCAAAAATAATACATTATTATCAATATTACAATCATTAAATACCATAAACAAATAAATTAGGAAAAATGTACGTTAGTACCTAAGAATAATCTTGCAAACTTTTTTTGACATCTCCATATTCTGAAACACAGATGTCTGTGAGAAATGTGAGCAGAATCTATGCAAATATCAGATATGTGCCTTCTATCTTTCCCATGAAAAATCCCCCATGAAGTCAACTTATAAAGTTAGAATTACATTCCATGTATGCTTAAGAGACATTTATTAAAGGCCAAGAGCATTACGCTCCCCGGATTCTGTCTGTATGTAGTGGTATGGGCACACAGTTCACAGTCTTTGCATATTAAATTTACAACAGACTTTGATACTTCCAAAAGACCGTTGTTTTCCGAAAGGTTATGCACCGGTGTAGTGGAAAGGTTCTAAAAGAAACATGCTCATATGATTCGTATGTACCTTTTCATACACCAGTAACATATCCTTCACAGTTTCGCCCTCTAGATTCAGCTTTTCTTCCAGCAGAGGGCTGTGTTTCTTCATGGAGTCTATATCCTCCCGAATCTCTCAGTTGGCTGTTTCTTAAGTATTTGGTTTTGTACCTGTGGCAGCTGACAGCTTTTACTCCAAGATATCTTGAACACGCATTTCATATTCCATTAAAAAGATAATTACCACAAAAACCGTGAGTTTCTGAATGACAACATAAATACCTAGTGAGATTAGGAAATATGTTATCAGAATGCTAAAACTGTGGACTACTTTGAAGGCCGAAAAAGGACATTGGTTACAAAAGGTCACCAAATATTGCATTAGGATTAGAACTGTTTTATAAACTCATTCTTAATTATCCTAGTATGTAAATCAAGTAAATGTTCAAAGCCAGGGGTGGTTTTGGTTTAAGAAGGAAATGAAAACATCTAGCCTTAAGGCATATCTAGAGGAGGCTATTATGACACAAGAACAGCTTTACCAAGCTTCCTAGCCTCCAGCTATGTTGATGTATGACATATGTTGATGCACAGGAAGCACAGGGCAAGTATAGATCCCACAACCTTTTAATAAGAAAACTGTTTTCAGTTCAGGGACACTTCATGAACTAAACGTGGTTTCAAAAAAGCTAAACTAAGGATACAAACTCAAAGCTAACAAACAAAACATACTCCTGTTGCCACAAAGAAGTATGTCAGTCTTAATTCAGTTTGCTGTATTTAATTTTCTGACTTTAGTATAAATTTCCAATGGGTCTTAATAAGAAAATATATCACTAGACCACTGGTTGCTGAATAACAACATATATTTTATCTTGCTTAGAAATAAAAACGCTTATTAGAGATGGTGTTATGCAGCAGTTGATGGAAAATTTATTGGTATGAACTAAGGAAAGTAAAGTAAAATTATCAGATGAGAAAAAAATCAGATAACATCTCAAGAGAAGTAAACTTGGCCATAATTTTGAGAGAGAGAAGCATATTTTTGCTGATGTAAAAAATACTTTACTTCTGAAAGTAGCTGTAGAATATTCAGTGAAGTTCCTCAACAGTTGATAAATTTTGCTATGTTAACAAGACATAAATCACAAATTTGCAAAATTGTAATTTTCTACTAAAAGTTAGAAAGACATTGCACAAACAAGTGGCTTGTCTGCATCGTACAAAATGATGTTGAACATCAAGATGAATAAAATGTGGTTTACACTGAACATTTGTTCTACTTCAGAGAAGGTAATTGCTGAAGATAGGTTACATCACTGTAATTACCTGAGTGTGCTACAGGACACAGATACAGCAGGAGTCAGTAACAATGGAAATCAAGGTAAGTCTGAAGAAATAACAGGATTCAGTGTCTACTCTGAATAGGTCACGCAAACTCTTAATTAATCTCCTGGGTTTGTAATACTTAGATTAGGGATAATTATAATATCCCTGAGGGTCTTTTCTCTTTATCCTCAAATCCACGTTAGCATATTTTTTGTCTTATGAATAATACTATGAAATGTTATAATCCTGAAAATTACAAATTTACTCCAAGGACATGACACCATACTGACATAGCCCACTGATAAATCAAGGGAGAAAAAAACTGGTCAATTTTCACAGCCGAATTTCATGCTGCTTTATTTTGCTTTAAAAAAAAATTAAAAATAATACTGTATCATTGCTTATATTAACAGAACTGAAAATGTGCTAATTATATTCTACTATTCTAAACTTTTGATATTTATAGAAAATGCTAAACAGTAAAGAAACAGAAATGCATAGCAACACAGAAAGATTATTTACAACTGCATTCACTGTAGGTAGGAACATCAAAAGTAAAAAGTAACACCTCTGCAGCAAAAATCCTGAGCTACAGTGCTGAAGAATGAAGATTATATTATTAACCTTCTCTTACTGCATTTCTTTACTTCTGTAAAACTGACCTTTCAGTTGCCACAGGATTTGCTCCTGAAAGCATTTTCTATCCTGTCAATGATTTTTAGTTCTGATACTATATCCAATGTCCTCCTCTCTTTTTAAGGCATCTTAAATTGTTCTTATGAGGCAATTGCTTTTAAGAAAAGCAATCTCTGCAAACTAGTAGCACCTTAACACAGGTTTCTAATTTCCAAGTCAAGAGTTAGCCATTGGCTAAAACAAACAAACAAACAAACAAACAAATATTTTTTTCATATATAGTTAAGGATGAGCACTATCTGACATTTCACCTTTATGGACAGGGGGAGGAAGCATTTGGGGCTGTCTTGCCTTCATTATACACTGATCTTCACTTAATGTTTACCCCTCAGTAAACACAGCTACGGAGACTCTTGCACTGTTACCACACTCTGGACTGTGAGATATTTGTCAAAAACCTCAGGGTGATATGCATCAGAATATGCACTAGAGTACAATCGTGATTTTATATTTGGGAACTTACTGTGATAAATTACACTGCTCTTCTACAAGCCTAAGTTCAGAGAGCACCTGTTTTTGCCCATGAGCCAGAACACAAACAGCAAAGAACACAAACAGCAAACTGCTAAGTAGCTCCTTTCTCCCTCCCCACCCCTTTTTTTTCTTTAATTCTATTGTGTGGATGCCTGTTCATCATAAGAGGTAATAGTAAACATCCCCAAAATCTGGGATTTCAAGGATACTTATCAATGGTTATGTCCATTTCTATTAAATAAATGAGTACTTTGTTCAAATTTATCATGGCTTAATTTTTCTCAAAAGAAATTATTTATTTATTTCTGGTTAACTCTGTAATGCAATTCAAATGCATTTTTTTAGAATTATGTTTTGGTTTCTCATTTCTTGCCCCAAACATAGTATTTATTATCATCTTAAGTGTCTTCCTTACACTTACATTATTTCTCAGAAATCCCTTTTTTTTTCCAGATATTTATTCAAGTATACAAAATTCAGAAGAGTAAATATTGTACTCCTATTACAGCAAACACAAGTGTAGTCATATCATAATTTTTACTCTTGGTAATGAATTGACTGAAAAATAACAAATATTCTTAGTTTCAATACTAATACCTTTTTGCACATTTGTGAGGAGTTGCTGAAGCCTCCAAAGTGACATACAATCAATTTTCATACCAAGCTTTTTCTTTCACCATTTCATCAACTCCAAAGCTTTTTCTCCCTCCTCACGATCAGCCTCCAGCTGCTTAATTAGCTCAGTAACTTCCAATAGCAAAGCTTCTGTTTCATGCTTCAAAGTTAACGTCTTTGCCATCTTTAAAAATACATTAAAAATCTTTTTTATGAAAGCTTAATCATATGCTCTTTAGTCGAACTACATTCTCAACATCAAGTTGGCCTGTTCATAGCAAGCACAACTGGCTAAATTTCTGTCCTTAAAAATACATTATAATTGTTCCTTACGAAGGCTTAAACACACACTCTTAATTCCAGCTTCTTTCTCAGAATAAAGCTAGCCTCTTCACCTCTATCAAGGCAAGCACAACTGGTTACAAACATAACTTACAGTTATGTTACCTTTCAGTAGCATTTTCCTCCAGCTTATTTCCAGGGCAAAATGCACATGGCACAAAATTTTCATCTTTGTCTCTTTGCTTGGGTAAGTAATCATCCAAATAACAGTGCAAGTTCCTAATTGTCTCAGTTTTTTCAAGAATACTTATTTAATTTCAATTACTTCACTAAAGTCTTTGGAGGCCTAAGAATATTCAGTATAATATTTCAACAGCACTGTTTTGCTTGTGATAAATAAAATCATCATTCCATTCTGTGAAATATGGCCATCAAAAAAGCCTAGGGTTTTTTTTGGTTTTGGGTGGGTTTTTTTGTTTGTTGGTTTGGTTTTTTGTTCGTTTTGTTTTGTTTTGTTGGGTTTTTTTGATAAAAGATTCTTTCAGGTCATCATCCATTGTCCTGATCTATAAAACATGGGAGTTATATCAGCTAGAGTCCAAGACATTTCTGGTTTGATTCCACAGTTAATAATTCCCTAAATTATTTTGATTAAAAACTGCAAGCATTGAAAACGAGGAAAACGATTTAAAATCTGGAATGAAATTTTGGCCTCACTACTGTCAAGAAAAATTTTATCACACAATTTACTGCAGATGGGATTGCCTCAGGCTAGTAGCAACACTTAAAAGGTTGCACACTGCTTTAAAAAAAATGCACATAATCTCTTTAATATTTAAAACTTAATTAAAAAATGTATATTCTGACTAAAGACACAAACTGTATAAAACAGAATTCTATGTTGGGGTTATGCTACAAATACCCCGTAACAGCAATGCAGTTATTTATTTTACAGAAAATAAATGAAAAAAAATAATTCTAGAATTTTCAACAACCAACATAACTAGTTTAGCTGGTTCGAATCCCGGATGGGTTTAAAATAAAGTATGGATCTAAATACAGAAACGTAAATTATCTTCTTGCAAATAGGAAGACTTAATAATACTTAATATATCATTTAAAATGTATGTGTCTTTCAGCTTGACAGATGATACACACAGATTTCAAAGGATACTCACATCATTTACATAAGACATGGAGCAGGGAACAAGCGACCACTATTACAAATGCAAAGCACATATTAAAAGAGGATAAGTAACTTTTATCATACAGCTGAGTATTATGAAATATTTTTACCTTCATAAGTTACATCAGCTTCTTTAAAATCCAGCTTAGTGGATAATGATGACCAGATATCTTCAACAGAGTCAGCACTGAACTGTTTTGTTATCCTGTGGGTAAAAACCCCATCACAAAAAAATTTAGACTGAATTTAAATTAGCTTTGTTAAATAAACATTACTTTCACTAAGTCAAAATTTCCTTTCTTAAATCTTAGACATTTAGATGCTGGTTAATTAAATGGAATAATTGCAAGTCTTACGAAAGAATTATTAATATCACAATTCTCATACAGATGCATTTCATATTTCTTTACAGAAATACAAGAAACAGATTTCTTTACATTTTGTACTTACACAGATCTTCAGTTTTTGTCCTCATACCAAGAATTTGCCAAAGAGAAACTGTTGTAGAAAAGCTGTAATTCTTTCCAAGTTCTAAACATGCAGGAGCAATATGTGCTGTACTTTTCAGACTCTTCTAAGCAGCAGAAGCATCTAATGCTTTATCTGTTCAGAAACAGATACCTTGCACAGCACATCAGATATAGTTTTAGTTTTATCAGTTTAAGGAAAGTCATCAGTTTAGGGTCAACAATAAAGAAAGAAGATTTTTTTAGATATATGAAAAAAATACAGTCAAGGCATAAGGCTTAAATAGGATTTGAACAGATAAGCATTTGAAATCTGAGAGACCCAAAAGCAGAGAAGAGAAGGGTTTTGTTGAAATGAGATCAGGACAAAATTAATCTGCAAGTGAGAAGGGGAAAGAAGTAGCACAAGAAATCAAAGAAGAACACAAGCAAATCATATCTCTCATGAAAACTTAAGGGGATCATTAGCCTATTGGAGCTGAAAACAAGGGAAGGAAAGATAACTACCACCCTCTTATGTCCACATGTGCAGCTCAAAGGGCACATGCAGGTCCTTCATATGCAGCTAAGATGAAATGGAACCCGTGGTCACAGTGTTACATCACACATACAAGCATAACTTGAACACACCTATATTTGAAAGAACTCCACTTGGAGGAACGCCACAAAATAGTCCATTTGCCATGAAGAAACAACAGTCAATAAGTCTATGCCAAAACCAGACCAAGAGAAATACTATTGAAGTCTTCCTAGATCAACACAAAATACATCAAAAGTACAGGGAAGAGGAAAAAAAGAAAATCTGAGCAGTAATGGAAAATAGGAAGCATTGGACAGGAAAACTGGGACCTGAAGAGATATCAAATTAGATACAGAAGCAGGAGTTTGATAAACAGGAATTGGATAAGTAGAAAAACACAGAATAAATGAATAGGTGTATCTTACATGAAGTAAAAGTATGCAGGGAAATACAGGATTTGTTGAGCAAAACAGGACAACAAGCTCAGTGCATGAGGTACAAAGATTAAAAGAGGAGTTTGAAGAGGAGAATCTAACTAGAACTATGCCATAAAGTACCCTGTATCAAGAAAAATTAAAATCACAGACTCAGACTTATTTTGTGTGCTTTCTGAGAACCTGGCTTTTAAATATACTTACATTGTATTGTATTGTATTGTATTGTATCCTAGGCTTAGGAAAAAAAAAAGTAAAATTTAGAAAAAACCTGCATGAGTTTAGTTTTAAAATTACATTTTAAATTTGCATTTTTAAATTAATTTTAATTTTATAATGTTTATAAACTCTGTATATATTCTAGATACCTGCAGTATCTAGAAAAAAAAGCCCAAATCTTCAACTTTCTATTTTTCATTTAGGATCTATGTTCTATTTTGATTTTAACAAGCATCCTCTCTCGCTCGCTAACTTTAAAGACACATAGTTATAAACACTGGAGTATTATTCAAGGGAATTTCATCACTCAAATGCAAAAAAGTTTTTTGAACTAACCATAAATAGCTAGCAAACTACCCTGAAAACACAAAAATTATGCATTTAATAGTGGTATGAAGTATAGGAAAATCAGGAAAGAAAAAGATTTTAAAATCTTGGGGTTTTTCCCCATCTTATTACAGCATGTGATGAAGAAATGGCCATTTCATTCAAACTTTTTTCCTACTCCCTTTCTTAATTACTTATCTCCCTTTGTTTTGCCAAGCTGAAATGAGGGTAAATTGATGTCACCATCCAAAGGCCTTAGACTATTTTGAATCTTTGTATATTTAGTAACAAGAACATAGAAAAGATGCGGAAAATATGCACGAGACTTACAGAAACAAGCTAACATTAAAATTAATAAACATCTGGACATGTCAATGCTTATCCAATTCATGTACATTGATGACAAAAATATGACATTGAAATAATTTCACTGTTTTCAGATTATAGTAAATAAAGGTGAATGAGGCAATATAAATTTTCAAACCAAATTAATGTCTATACTGTAAATTAAGATGTGACTGTAGTTCATGTACCTTGGATTCTTCTAACATCTCTGTTGCAGCTGCAGAAATTTCCCTGCAGAGTATTTAACAGCATTTGTGGAATACTAATCTAAGACAGCTTTCCTGATGCGCTGCTATGATGACATTACTGCCAGTATTGCAGATAAATTATTTAAATATAACTTGTCTGTGCGGGCAGCTATCAGATCTTCTTGCTGCAGTGTAGACATATGCAAAATTTATTAACATTTGGAAAACACTTTTCCAGTAAAAGTGAATTATTTAACTTATACTAATCATGTTCTCAGAGGAGCTAATGGGAAGCTTCTACAATGATATATATAGGGCTGTTTCTTCACCTACCTACCCATTTTTTTAACTTGCCTTTATTCTTGCTTCTATTAACTTGTGCGAATCTGTATAGACTAAGAAAACATCATGTACTGCTAGAGAAAGAACCACAACATTTTCATGTCTTTCCATATTAAAGAAACTTTTCAATCAAGGAGTTGTTAAGTACTGCTCATGAAAAAACATTTCTTGCTGTAAATGACAGAAAATGGCACACAGCTCCATTTGACTATCTACTCAAGATTAGTAACCAAAACTATTTTGCAGATGATCTCACTGTGTCAGTTTGACTCTGAATCATCATACACGAATATATTAATCTTTATGATGCATGATATTACATTATGATATTGTGCTATATTAATTGTAATAAGATAGTTCCATTTGCCAATACTTTTAAGTACATTAAAAACATCTCATGATCAGTAAATTACATTCTGGGGCACTATTTTGGGGAGTACATAAGACATGAAGCTAAAAATTTTATAAAAATCAACATAGTAACCATAATTAACTATATATGTTCCTATGAAGAGAAAAAGGAATTGGCCATTTTCAACCATAAATGTACCTGTTGAAAGCATTTTTTCTCCTTTAATTCTAACTCTTGAATTTGATGCATAATTTTGTTAATACAGGCTGATGGAGTATTTACAAAAGCACAGCTATGTCACCTTGTGGTGATCCACTTGTTCTTGTCTGGAGAAAGAAAGAGAACACAGAAGGTTCCTAAACATGCAGGCTGATATCAGATTTTCTCATACCTGGTTTTCTTCCTTTAATTTGCAAATTTGTTAGCTTTGGTCTTGAAATTGTCTACCAGAGAATGTAACAGCTACATCTATTACTACGCACACAATTTGCTCAAAAACTTATCCTTTTTTAATACAATCTCAAACACAAGTAAGAAGATGAAAAAATGCTTGAGGAATATGAAGGAATATTTTCAAAGACATGAGATACGATAAAGAGAGCTTGGGTCAAAATACAATTTACTACAACTAATTTTACATAATTAGTCCCAAATGAATCCATTTTTATGATTTTACATTAGTCCTCAGCAAGGATGCTGTTCTAACAAAAAAAATATCACAACCCAAAAAGGCAAAGGCGACAGCTACTATAGAAACACCCAGAGCAGAATCGAAAAGGTCACAAGGCCTTAGAGATAAGCTTAGACTACTCTTATGTACACAATACTTAGTTCCAGCAAATGTTTGCTTCAACCTTATGAAGGGGTGAAGTTCAGGAACAGTAATTCCCGTGATGGGAATTTAAAGCTACATGACATAAATGAACTGTTTTACGAGAACATGCGGATTTCACAATTATGTTTTCTTTAAACTCTGTTAGCCTTATAACTACATAAATAAATGGTTCTGTGTCACACTACTGAATGTTAACTATTGAATTAATACACAGAACAGGAATCTGATTGCAGAGGTGTCAGGAACAAGAACAAGATACTGAAACCTAGCAGTAGAGCTATTAAAAATCTAAGAAGCTGTCCTACAAACATGAAATGTTAACCTAATTAAGTTTGGGGGGATACAATGCTTCAATGTGCCTTGGAGATGAACCAAAAATAACAATAATAGGGATTAAACAGCAAAAGAGAACCAGATAACCTTCATATATGTGGGTTTTGGGGGGTTGTTTTTGTTTGGTTTGTTTTTTTTAAGAATAATCTCTGTGTTTTAACTGAAGTGTCAGCTTAAAACATTAAAAGTTTTTATGTTACATAAGGCTCTTTTAACTTAACTTTATCGTAAACAGCCTTACTGGAATAGAACAGGTGGTTTGCAATATTTTGTTTGAAAAGACAGCCCACTAAAATGGATAACAAAACCTACTTCATAGAATCTTGTTCTGCCTATTTAGAGAGCCAGAAACCTTCACAGGATGCCTCCACAGCACAGTCCTAACAAAGCATTTATAGACTTCATATCTTTCTTATACTCTGAAGCCCAACACAGAAGTTCAGATTTTAAGACCAAAATAAATTTCATTTAGTTGCTTCTACTGTTATGTAATTATATTTATTCTGTTTACATCACTAATGAGACTAACAATACAACCATTTTAAAAAGAAAGAAAATTTTTGAGAGCCTTTAATTAAAAAACATTATTCTTTTACTGCTTTGGTCTTCCTGGTAAATGCAAGAATTTTACATGCAAGTCTTCTAATCCTTTTATAAAAGCAAGCTAGAAATATAAAGTGGAATACATCAGTGATATGTAACAGAGGTATTTTTAAAGGTTAGCAAATCCATTTTCATTTGTCCTTCTAAGGGAAAAGCAGCAACTAAACAATTGATGTCACTGCAAATCACAGACTGGATCCTATTTAAGTAATAAAATTACAGTTAAAAAGCAAATAAAAATAAAAACAATGCAATGTCAACCTATGTGACCTGGCTTTTTAAATTATACATGTTATTTAGGATCCTATGATGACAGTTGTAACCAACAGTGACTGGAAAAACATGAAAACAAAATGGATAACATATGAGATGAATTTTAATTAAGAAACTGTTGGTGGAAGGGAGATCCACAAACTTGTAGTCTGAAACATTGTCATCTCACTGGACAGGAGACATGTAAGAGTGGAAAAAAAATCCACTTATTTCCATGTAAACATATAACTGAGATTTACTACAATAAAAACTCCCAAGATTATTTATTCGTAATTTGCATAATTCAGAAAATAACACTGGATGAAGGCTGGGTAGTTAAGTCTCAGGACCACAAACTGAGGTAATTTACCAGAATACTCTATCACCCTTCCAGGTGGACTGCTTCTGGATGGTGCAACTGGCATATTAGAGGTCCCCAGTAAATTGTGGTTTCCAACTGTTGCCAACCCACAAAAACTAACTAGTAAAAAAGAATCCCCTCCCCCCATACCTATATTATGGTCTTCATCAACATAAAATACTGAAAACAAATATCAGACAGTTTATAGATTTTAGCATTTCATATTTTTGCAAGTAGTACTATGAAAAAAAAAAAATATATATATATATTCCAGACTCTCTGAAAGGGAAAATAGTTGCTTAAGGGTCCAACTGGATGGACAGTCAGAGAAAAAAAAAGAGCAAGATCAAAATATGCACTTCACATTTTCCACACCTCAATTTATTGGTCGACCAAAGTCAAACTCAAGTCTGTTCCAAAGAAATGTTAGAAGAATGTAAGAGTACCGAGCTTGCCAAAAGAAATGCTGAATCCATGTCTGATCTCTTACATGCACTTCCATGTACTGCAATGCAGACAGAATTGTTGTTCTGTTACCATAACAAACTAACTGACTTGGAAACTCTCAGCAATACCAAGAAAGCCTTTCAAACTAAATTTGTGGAAAAGGTATTTTTTAATTAAATTTATAATACGTATAACAAAGTTTAGAGTCACCATATTTTCATCTATGCAATTCTCCTCAGGAAATATATGGGAAATGCATTATATGAATCATTCTTGCATGTCATTTGCACATTAATGCTTTTTTTTCAAGTTTGGTGGCTTTTTAAACTCTATGAAACAATTATTTTCAATGGTAGGATTCACTGTTGTTGAAAGAAATACGTCGATTTGGCAAGCAGGAATTTTCTGCTGACATCATCTGTGACAGGATGTCAGCTTCTTGGACTCTGCAAAATGAAATTGTAATCTCCTAAAGGCTCATCCTGACAGATGGACCAACAAAGCTCCAACAAGGAATACAAAAGAATGTGAAACTCTTAGTAAGTAAAAAAAAAACCCAAAAAACCAAACCAGAAGTATTGACAGAATAGCTCTAGAGAAATGAAGAAAGATGAGAAAAATACTACATAATAAAGGATGAAATCCAGAAGAAAAGTTTAAGAAACAGTTTCAATTTGCTGTTGCTTGTATAGCCAGTAACATATTCAGATCAAGGTACAGACTATTATCTGATATGCTAGCATGTGTTAAGAAAAAGGTGAGAACATCACTAGTCTTTGAAGCAATCAGTTACACAACACAATAATGCATTCCCCTGCACATAATAACCCACTTAAAAAAAAATAGTGGACAAATATACAGTTGATGACAAAAGAATCATTTCAATCTGAGGAATAAAAAAAAAGTTAGTAAGCACATAGTTCATTTAGTATCTGTTGACAATCTTAGCCTCAATGCATACAAATATTCACAGAATCACAGAATATGCTGAGTTGGAAGGATTATTGCTCTTAGCCCTGCACAGGATAACCCCAAGAGTCACACCATGTGCCTGAGAGCTGAGAGCATATTGCACTATTTATGATCACAGCTGTAGCCATAAAAATAAAAATAAATTAAAAAATTATATTGCCTTACACAGAAAAAATAAGCCAAATCCAGTGAGATAGCACTCACAATTCTGTAATTTATACCTCTGACCATAGGAAAGTGTTATTCTGCGCTAACTGCTTTACAGAATTCAAACTAACCAACATTCTGACAAAAATAACCAGTACATTAGTCATATTAGTACAGTATAATTCCTAAAAGTCATTCTGTGTAACTCCATAAAGAAGAAGAAAAAAAATACTGTGAATCTTTCATCAGAGATGCATGTTTATATATTTATCAAAATATATGTACCTTATATATTATTAAATATGAATATAACTAAAGTAAACACATACAACATTTTAATTACCCTCTTGATACTTTATTATGAAAGAAATAATTTGTCAGCTGCTAAAAATAGATTTCTAATACCAACATCTCAAACAGAAGGATGAGAAACTAACATAATTTTTGTTAAAAAAAATCCTTGATAATATTTTTTCCATTAAAGAAACCAGAATTCAGATATTAGTACTTCTATCCACCTAACATAAGCTAATGTTACTATTTCTCATCATAAATGCCAATTCTCAGGCAGAGACTTGGGATATTCCTAAATATGCTTCATAAAAAGCTTATTCTGTAAGAACCTTTTTCACACCAACTCCCATACTTACCTCTTCACCAAAAGTCTAATTCCCCATGAAGTAAACTAAGTGCAAATTGAGATTATCTACCTCATAAGAACAATAGATATGGTCAAATATTTTTTTTAAATATTCTCATCAATCTCAGCTCCACTGTGACTATGGTATTTGTGTCAGAATTTTTCCTCCTTCCACAAAATGCAGTCAGTCTAAATAAAAATTATAACCTAGTCATAGTTAAAAGAAGCTAACATCCCAAGAACAATCTTCTCTTTATCATTTCCTGACCTCCTAATGTTCCCTTTCTGAAAATACAGCATTTTATCATGTGATTTTAGGTTCCTAGAATTTCTTGTGCAATTTCTGCCTGTCCTCAAGTGATGCAGTGAATCATTTTAAACAGCCCAGGTTTACTTCAGAATACACAGAAAGGGATTGATATCCCTGAAATTATTTCCCCAAACTACATTTCGTGCAGATATTCTAATATAGTACTTGGTGTTGTTTAAATAGTAATTTTAAGGATTAAAAATCTGTTATAGTGATAGTCTGGCCTCCCACTTGAAAACAAGGTTTCATGTAGAATTTTACAGGGTTTAATATAAACCACCAACTCTAACAGAACTATAAGAATTGCTACCAAAATCAGCAAAAGACAGGAAAAAGTCCTTAGGTTCTTTGTTGTGCTTTATTCTTATCACGGGAACAAGATCCCAAGAACTAGTTCCTTATACCAGCCACTTTAATCTTTAAGAA